GCGAGCTGAATTAGCCTTTACACATCCAATCAGTATTTCTATAAAATAAGGTGGAATCACTTGCATTGTTTTGTGGATCCACACTGCATCTTCGTCAGGAGAAAAAGTTGCACCTCCTTAGGATTGGATTGTTGGATCAACGCCCTTATCTTACACTGTAGAAGATTCTGACCCAAAAGTTTTCAATAGTAAAGAACAGTTTTGTGTATTTATTTAATAGAACATGAGTGAACCCTGCTGGTGTTATTTTTGCCCCTTATACCTTAAATGTCACCTTGCAAAGATAGCTGATGCACATTTTCAACTGGCATACAAATGTACCAAAGATGATAATAATTTAATCATCATAGCTGATTAAATTCTTACAATGTTTAGTTTTCAATTAATACTCTATAACAATACACTGTGAGCACAATAGACATGAAAAAAATGTAATGAGACAAAACAACTCCATATAACTTTTTATTTTAAATGATTTAATCTGTTCATTTATCATCATGCTGTATAATAAAACAGTTACAGGATTAAAATTAAGCGCATTTTAAACAAAACTTAGGGGAAATGTTTTATGCAATATTTATGACATCTGTGAGCATTACAGTTAAACTTTACAAACAATCTGTTTGTAACATAACCATATCACAACAAACATAAGCAAGATAAGTAGGTTAACTGTTATTTGAAGATGCTCTCTGGACACCTTTGTAACGAGAGCTAAAACTGTTCAATTCTTTAGTCTAAAAAATTGTTCCCTTTTAAACAACTACTTCATCAGAAGTTGCTTTAATCCAGTGCATTTTAAATAATAATAAATATAGGGTATTTAAGACAAATTAAACCATCAAGAACAAAAGCTACTTTTCCACTATCAGGCTAAACGCTCCACTTTGCGAAACCGTTACAGTCAGCATAGACAAGGCTTCATTTTCCACTGTGATGCTGATGATAGAGCTATTTGAAAATGTAATCTAAACGTGCCACTTAATGCCTTGGTAATATAGGTGTATGTAAACAACAATATGGATAAAGATCAAATACTTCTGTTTTTAAGACTTATTTATCTGACATTTAATTAGTTAAATAACAGAAAAAAGAAATAGTGCTTCAGCTAATTCTGCTATGGAGAAACAGGCAGCCAGTGGCCACATCACGTACATGCACTCTACCAACATGGCTCAGCATGGTTGTCTAAAATGCCTATCACAACAAAACCCATTTCTGTGAAAGGCGCCTTTTTTAAATTTTTATTTTTTTTGTCTGTGGTTCTTAGTAAGCCAGTTGGGTAAGCCACATTTCTGAATTTTCACTGGCAATCTTAGCCAATCGTAACAATTTTGAATTTAGACAACCAGCCTAGAGCCTCAGGAATCGGATAGAGGCTGTGTTGACCTGCCCCCAGATCCTAAATTGGTTTCTTTTGTCAGTGAGCCTTTGCATGCTGTTTATGTGCACCAGGTGCCTCGTGTTATTACCGCCTGTTGCGTCTTGAGTTTTGGACGGAACGCTCTATGTACATGCAATTGAAAAAAAAGCCAACTCAAAAGCGCCCAACGTCATGTGCTCCAGCACCAAGAACATTAATACAGTGGTTTCCCAGCCACAAAAAAAAAAAAAGCTCAATGGTCGGATTAAAAATATTTGAGTTAAGACCTTTATAAAAATGAACAAACACCATGGCTTGGTCCAAAATCGCTAAAACTACCCAGTAGGTACTGCGTTTGAACTTAAATTTACAACTCGACCGTAAAAAAAGTGACATTCTATACATTATAAATGCGCGTAGGATTAATGGGACTCAGATAACATCATGATCACATGACCTACCCACGTAAGTTGCGTCGCTTCCCTCCCATTCATGAATTCTCTCGCAGTGCATCTTGGGATAGCATAGCGTGCATCAGATGCGCACTTTAAAATATTGCCGGAAGTAGTAGGTCATCCAGGTACTTCTCACATATTTTTTTTGGGGATTTTATGAACTCGGATATACTACTCGGCTCAAATGCTGTTTTTAGCATACTACTGAAGCATAGTATGAAAGTATGTGATTTTGAATGCAGCCCAAATTTATTTTTTTTTATATTTGAATAATTTAATAATAAACATATTAATGATTATGGCTTATATGATGATTTAATGTGGTTACATTTTTGTCAATATTTAAGTTAAATATGTTTACTTACACCTGCACATGTTCTCCCGTCAAGTTTGCTTTTTAAAGATTAACTTTTGTGCTGGAAGTGGCATACACTGGCGATGGGAAGTTCAGATTTTTTCTACAAACCAGATCTTTTGAAAGGTTTGTTTCAATAAACCGGTTCAAAAAAATTTATAATTTTTTCCTTCAATGAACTGGTTCTTTTACACTACAATGTAACAAAATCATTCCAATGACAGTCCTCACATGTTAGAACTCAACATATGAAAAATATACAGTGAGTAACATCACCATAATCTGAAACGTTTCTTACAAATAAGTCTTGACACTTAAATGAAGCATGGTCCACTTACTATATAAAAACCATAACGATTTTCTGTTATTAAATAAACGTATGTTTCGCCAGATCCTCTAATTTAAGCCCTCAGTTTACCCATGCTGCAGCATTAATAAATTGTTGAAAAGTTTGGTTCAGGTGGTAACTGTGCTGTTGTGTCAGTCACAGGCTGTCACATACCGTTTGTGTTTGGTTCACCACCTGCTGAATTACGCATGCGCAGTGTTATTGGTTAGCCAGTTCTCACATCTAATCCCAGTGTACTATTCTAGTAACAAGAAAAACTCGTGAAATTGGTTGATTTAGAGTCAGATGGGGTATCAGGCATGTTTAAAAGGAAGTTACTTGTAGATAAGTGCTTAGTGGAGAGGTGAATGGTTTTAAACGATTCGCTTAAAACAGGGGTTCTCAAACGTGTGCTTCCTCCTAGTGGTACGCAGAAGAATCGCTGAATAATGAAAGAAACAATTAACACTTTTAATCCTTTGATGTGTAAAATAACATCGATGTGATCAGCATTGGCTGTTCCCTGAAGTGTACGAGGAGCTCTGTGCTTAGAATGCTTATTTTAGTGCATTGTGTCATAAGTTGTTAAAAATCAGTTTCCGAAGTTTAAGAATTGATTCTGAAGAGGTGATTTGACTGATGTAAAAAGTGGCCAATCACAGTCGACCTCGTCTAGTTTTGAGTGAAACGTAAGGGCAGCACAAAGGCATTTCTGTGTTGCAGAGACAGAAAAAAACAACTTAACAACATATTTTTTGTTGGAATAATGCTTCTCAGATGTTTTCACTATAGAGATGTCTATGTTATTAGCAAGAGTAATTAAACCGTAGACACATTTCCTGCCATTTCGACGATCTAAAGATCTCTCTTCTCCCCGACAGCAAGTTGACTCGCCTCTGACCTGTCACTCCTCTAAATACAGTCTGAATGGAGACGCTAAATGCAGGCATTGCGCAATTACTCATTTCTGCAAATGTCGCAAGTGCTTTATTTTAACATGAGAGCGCAGTCATGTACGCTAATCGCTAAAACAGATATGCGAGCACCTTAATAGGCTTTTTCAATTGAACTGCAAGTCCTCTCATCATCATCGCGTCTGTGCTCAGTGTATACAATCGCGATCTCTTCGCTATTAAAGTAGTAATTATTTATATTTGCTCCTTTTAATAAATTTAGTCAAAAACTATAAAATATTTAGAATTAGATCAATACATGATTAATGACAATGTTAACTGACTTTTTTGGCTGTATTGTGAAGTGAAACTTTTAGCAAAGATGGAACTTTGTCTTTACGACAAAAGAATCATGCTAGAAATGTTTTGTTAAGTTATTTGTTTGATTTTTACATAATATCTGTATTCTGATCAGTCTTAAAGCATTGCAGGTCAAAGCAATCTGTTGTTACTCATTGTTTATTTATCAAAATAAACAATAAGGCTCTTAAAACAGTGCTTTAATAAATGTAGTGTTGTCATATTTCAAATACCTCAAGCAAAAGTAATTTGTTTTATTTTATTACTGAGTGTACTTGTCTTTTTTGTAAAGCTTTTATTTTAGTTTAAGATCAAGTGTAAAATAAAATTTCCATGTGATGTAGAGCTATTTAAAAAAACATGTTTGCCATATTGTAAAGAAAAATAGTGTAAAACATGTAGATAAACGGCTAAATTTAAATCTTTTCATCATATACTTTAACTAAACCTTTCAAAGCTTAAAAATATTGTTCAAAAAAATGGACAAAAAGTGTCTTTATGGCCTTACAGAGTATGTGGTAGTTTTGCCAGTGCTATTGAAAAAGATTAATTGTCATGAAAGGAAAAATCGACCACACTTCCTTTGTTAGTGCAAATTCCTATACATGTAGCTATGGGATTTAAGCAATTAAACCATTCAAACAGGTTTACACTTAAAAGTGATTTCAGAATGAAAATAAGATTTTTTTTAAGTAACTAACTAGTACTTTGTACTTTTACCTAATATTAGTATTATTTACTAAAATCTGTATTATTTTAGCAGTGTAATTGTATTTTTACTTGAGTACAAAAAAGAATTCACAAGCATTTAGTGCAGGTTTTTTATATTATTAATATGTGATTAATTATTATTATTATTATTATTATTATTATTAATGGTTTTTATTTGTATGAATTCCTATGCAATGTTAAAATGGGTTGTTGAGAATACATTTCAGGTGTTCAACACATAGCGTGTCAGTCTTGTAAATAAAAATAGGTGCTGAAAAAAGTGCTTAAAAGTCCTTGATTTCCATAAGGCTGTGCCTGTATGAACCCTGTCATATGTACATATAACATATATTTCAAGATTTGTTAGAAAGTGCATAAATATGACATATAGCCTATATTTATGAGGTTTTAATGAATAGGCTACTATGTTAGTACTTTAAATTTAAGTACAGCAGTTTACTTTTTACTTTTTAAGAACAGTGCCATTTTTAATGAACTTGTAAAAGCACATTTTAATTTAAATGTATTTTTTGTTTGTTTGTTTTTACCTGCAAGTACAGTTAATGTTCAAACTATTTATAATGTTTAAAGTGGCTGACAATAATACATATTCTTAATAATAGGAATTAATCTGCCTCGTTTGCAATGTGCCTCAAACTGTGCACAGCTGTAGCTGCTTAATTAGACCTACAACGCTATATTTCAGTACTGGTCATTATGGTGGTACTTGGAGAGACAATTTTTTTTCTGAGGTGGTACTTGGTAAAAAAAAGTTTGAGAACCACTGGCTTAGAAGATTCGAATTCATTTGTGATCGCCATCACTAGCGTATGCACATTTACACCCAAGTTTTACCCCACATCTATAAATGAGACCCCAACGCACTGCTTTTTTCTAAAATCAATTAACGGATAAGTGCATTCAGTGTGTTGAAGCTTTACTCTGCCTTTACTTCTGGACAGAGAAGAGTTTGCAATCATGCTGCATCATTCTCAGCTCACGTGGAATTAAGAAATTAACAGTACCAGACTGTTCTTAGAACCATTCAGCCTGACATTGCAAAAGCAGCTAATAATTTGGTAAAATGGTAAAACATACCATTTCAAAACAAATGGTAAATTAAGGTATTACATTCATGAAGCTTCACACAGAAGTGTTAGCCTGTAGGACAACGCATTTCTGTTACTTTGGTCACTTTTTATAAAACCAGTCAAATTCTAAAAGACTCTTTCTTTTCTATATATATCTATATAAGAATCTCTTGATTAAGCTGCACCATACTGATCCCTACCTTCACTATAGTGCTATGTTGGCTTGGAAAGCTATTTTGCGAACTAGCTTTTCTTAGAGATGTTTAGCTTCTTTTTGATGTAATGTCCAACCAGGGCTTGTGGTCTCTGCTGGTAGTTATTCAGGACTTCATGAGAGCTGGTCAGCTGATCTCCTTTCTGCCTGTCTAGCAGTGTCACACACACAACCGCAGCTGGAAAAACAGGAAAAAAAAGTTCTTCTTACTGCCACATGACCTCATCCACAATAAACATCATCCATCTACAGGCTTAATGTGTGACAAAGTAAAACTTAGGTTAAACTAGTAAAACCTTCACATATCAACTGCAATAAAAATCACCTGTACTACGCCTTTCAAATGCGAAAACTTGTTCCCATCTGTATTAACCTAAAGCAGAATTTACTGAAAATGAGAGAAAATTGCTGATTAATGTGAAGACACATACCTCGAAGATTGCTCAGTTTGCACATGGCAGCAAACACAGATGATTCCATCTCAATATTGCGAACCCCAGCAGCATAGGCTTCAGCAAGATAGTTCTGTTTATCTTCTTCACTGTATGAGCAGAAGGCACCATCCAGCCGAGCTTGACCTGTAAAAACACACATAAATAAATGCTGTTATTCTGAATTTATTTTCAAAGTATAATAAAAATAGTTACATGCATCACAGTTTAGACAATACTGTGAAGCAGGAAAATGTTTTCAAGCTATCAACACTGAAAGAATCATTATTAATGAGTTTGCCCTGGAAATATGTTTATCATAATAGAACAGCAAATCAATATATTATACTGATTTCTGCAGGATCATGTCACACTGAAGACAACACATTATTACTGAAGGAGTAATAATGCTGAAAATAAAGATCCGAATCACAGAAATAACAACTGAAACTGTTAAGTAAGAAAACACTTAAAAACTGCAATAATATTTTAAAATTTAACAGTTTTTATTGCATTTAAGAATAAATACATGCAGTCTTTGTGAGCAGAAAGCTTATTTTTAAAACATTTGTATAAATCTCACTGATATACATAATAGAAGTCAATGGTGGTCAGTTTGTTAATTTACTTCTCTTTATTATCAGACCATTTGTGAGGTTTGAGTTTGTAAACTGACCCTATACACTTTGTAAAACCTGCTGGTAGCATTAATTGGACATACTTTTAAAACATTTGAGCTTAAAAAAAAAATATGTGTAAAAAACCTAAATTATTGTGATGCTTGTGTACTGAAAATTATGTTATGAATACAGGGCTTCACATTAATACAAGCCAGTCCACCAAATGCGGGTATATTTCATCTGAAGCAGGTTAGTCAGCCACTCCCACTAGCCACATTGTCTGGTTAAAATAAAGTTTTTAAATGGCAGTGTTGCTTTGTCACTAAAGATTTAAATTTTTGTTACAAACTGTTTGCAAATATGCATGCAAATGTAATCTTAGAATCAGGAAGCAGCATGATTGATAAGTGTTCGTGCTTTACAAAGGAAGCATGTGAATACCGAATTAGAGGATGATCAGGCACACGGTGAGACACAGGCGATCCTCGTTCACTGACGATGGTGTTGCGCACACAGTTGATGTGATACACGCAAGTGCTTAAAAGCTCCTGCGCGCATGTTTCTTTGCGCGAAGCAACCGTGTCTGGAAATACAACTGGTGCAATTGGTTCTCTTGAAATAGACTGGAAAAAGCGGAGCTCATTCATGCACAGTCCTGCTACTTTCAAGAGCTCAAGGTTTTTTGTATGCAGCTGGGGTTGCCGCTTACGCTTTAACCATTCTTTGAACAAATTATTAATGAGTTTAACGTTAACCGTGTGCACACGATTATCCTTTAGCCTGAAAAGACAGTAGTGTATATTTTTAGATACATGAGAATATTTCTTTTTAAATGTCAATAACTTTTTTTTTTATTTCTATTGAATAAAAAGTTTGGTGTGGCGAAGGAAAAAATTGGTAAATCCCAAAAAGTTACGTGAAATAAAACTAAATGCAATGCAACACTATGAAACCACAACACATTTGCTCATGCTCATCACAAATCACAAAAAAATTAAACAAGGAGGCATGTGGGCATAACACAAAATCGAAATCAAGTAATTTTAGCATGTCAAAGTCATATTTAAGCATATAAAATATATTTTCCCAGCAACAAACTTGTGGCTAGTAACGTTGGATAACTACTAGTGGCTAGTGATCAAAAAAGTTAATATCAAGCCCTGTATGTATATAATATTTTATATTTATACAACAGTTCATTCTGGTTCTCAAATCTGAAACGGTGAAAACGGTGTGATATTTTAGTAATTATAGTTATGATGCAGCTACACAATCATGTATATCACTCCGCCTGCAGAGAGTACCAAGCAGAGGGCTAAAACCACTATAGTTTGACAAATACTGCAGCTTTTTGACCACATAAAGTATGTTTGGGAATGTGATATGTGGTTTATTTAGAACTGCTCGATCGTGCAGATTCGCACTCTATAACATCAGAAAGAAAACATCATCAACTCCTTGTTCAAGCTCTTGTTCTCTCCAAACTGGATTACTGCAACTCTCTACTAGCTGGGCTTCCAGCTAACTCTATCAAGCCTCTTCAACTGCTCCAGAACGCAGTAGCACGAGTGGTCTTTAATGAACCTAAACGAGCACATGTCACTCCGCTGCTAGTCCGTTTGCACTGGCTGCCAGTTGCTGCTCGCATCAAATTCAAAGCTCTGATGTTTGCCTACAAAGTGACTTCTGGCCTTGCTCCTTCTTATCTGCTCTCACTTCTGCAGATCTATGTGCCCTCCAGAAACTTGCGTTCTGTGAATGAACGTCGCCTCGTGGTTCCATCCCAAAGAGGGAAGAAATCACTTGTACCCCAAAAAAAAAAAAAAAAAAAAAAAAAAAAGAAATACTAATACTACTAATACTTCCCTTCTTAGACTTTACAGACCTGAAACTTGCCTATAGCACTTATTCATTGTTGCTCTTAGTTGTGTAAATTGCTTCCTTGTCCTCATTTGTAAGTCGCTTTGGATAAAAGCGTCTGCTAAATGACTAAATGTAAATGTAAATGTAAATGTTTATTTATAAGAAGAGTGCCTGCTTGAATATGTTTCAATTGTTACTGAAATGGGACTTCCGACATGTCAGTGGGGTTCAGAACTCATTCCCTGCCTTTAGGAATTACAGCAGATTTTGGGATTTAACGCATGTCTTTATATTGTTTGAAATTTTGAACACATCATGATTTTTACGAGGTGAATGTGTTTCAATAGAAGCTAGTGTAATAAAATTGACAAAGATTGTGGCAAAAAATCCAAATAAAACAAAACATTTCTGAAAGATTTGTTATGAGTAATAGCAATGAAAAGACAAAAACTATTGAGATGTATTTAACACTTTGTAACAATTTGTATTTTTTGATAATGACTGCTTCAGAAGACCTATTGTTTGGACAATGGAGTCACATGCATTGCTCAGGTATGATTGTTTCATCATCGACTAAAAATCTTGATGGTTCTGTTGGTCTCCTTTATCAACTCTGATCTTAAGTTCTTATTTTTTTGTTGGGTTATTTAAACAGATTTATTTTCTTTTTTAGGTGTTGCGACTGAAGCCGCTAGTATTAATTTACTCTGATGAGCAGGTTTGCTCTCTAACCATAGAGATTTTGACTACTTTATGGCCTTAATTTTTTTAAATAAATTTGCCTAATTCTGAAATAATTAGTTTTATGTTATTTCTATGTATGGATTACTTTGGTTGTTACTGGCATTTGATGTAAATTCAACAGCACCTTTAAAAATATAATTTCTGAGAAAAATGTTAAAGTGTTAAATACTGAATTATACATTTTACTTGTGTGTGTGCGCCTGTGTGTGAACATACATTATGCTGCATAAAAACTTTTGTAGCCATTGTAGCCCCTCATAATTGTATTGTTGTTTGTTAAAAGTTATTGTTCAATAAATGAGATTTGATATAAATTACAGTAGAATTTATTCAAAGGACTTTTTATTGCCTAATGGTGCTTATAGTGATTGAAAATTCTAGTTACATTGTTCAGCCAACAGATGGTAATGAGACTATATAATGATTAGCCAGAAAGGCTACAATACTGTAACGGAGCAAACACGTAAATTCTCCTTATTTGTTTAAAGGAAATTATACATGATGCAATAAAATAATTAAAAGAATGGTTTTAAAGTGACATTTTTAAAATTGGCAACAACTTTTGTCCTGCTGTTAATACATTTTACTTTATATGAATCTGCGGTAAAAGAAACTAGTTCCTCAACTTTCTCACACAAAAGGGATTTTTGAGGCACTCTGTGGTTGTTTTTAATTTTTCTTTACGTATTTATGCTGTCAAACCGTCGTATAAATGCCACGTTACTTGAGTAGCACTGCTGTGAACTCATGTGATATCGCTCCTATATTATGGCTGGGACAATAAATCAATATATTGTGCTTCTTGGATCAATTTTTAGAATGCATCAAAATTCTTCTGGAATCAATTTTGAGCATGGATGTTAACAGCACACTAGGCCAGTAATTTATTCATATTAATAAATACACTCTATTAATGTAAAAACAGCTCACTATGAACATTCTTGCATTTCACTTAAACTTTTTATTAAATCATGGCCTTTATTAATGATTGCTTTTTACGTTCAAGTGGTATGGGGTAGATTGTGGATGTTTGTAAAGTATTCAGCTCTATCTGGTGGTAAAAACTAAGCTCAGATTGGATTCAAGAGAGATTGGCAATGCAATAGACAAATTCAGAATCGATGCAGAACCTTTTTTCGATTAGCAAGTGGATGAGTAAAAGAACAATGTACTTGCCAAATCAGACAAAATAGTGGTTGCATTAATATAGAAATTGTTTTTTAAACAAATCTTTTATTATGCACAGCTCAGCCAAGTAACTCACCTCTGTGAGGTGTTTCATCCCGTCAAAAAATGACTAAACCTCAAGCCAATAGCCAAATGTTCACTGACCTTCACTGACTGAGTTGCTGTACTGAGTCTAAACAAGATTACTTATTAACTTTAATAATACAAGATGTGTCTGCTTCGGTGACATTGTCATGAGATTACAGGATGTGCAAATGGCACTCAAAGAGCAATCATCCTTGCCAAAGAAGAAATCTTTTTAATGAAAATAAAAGGCTAGGACTGTAAAAAGAATCTATGACTGATCATTTAATGACTAAATGCAATGACTAATATGTAACTGTGACATCTCAGATCCATACACTGGGAATTTGTGCATGTGTGAATCCATGAGCAAATAGATGAAGGATTAAAAGTCCAAATTTCAGTTTCAAAGCAGATCCAAAGGGCTCTACACTATACCAGCTGAGAAATAAGCGCTTATATAAACATATGTATTGATTTATTTGAAATAGCTGATTGTTTATTGCCTGCTTGTTTTGCATTTCTCTTCTTCATTGGATTATCATTCACAGTACATGGATTTTAAAACTGTAAGCAGCAATTCTTGTACATTTGTCTTCAAAGACATTACTACCTTCATAGAAGTCAAGAGTGCACATTGTGTTTCCAATGATGATCTCAAACTCTCCAAGCTCTTTTCCACACTGAAGCAGCTCCTCGGCAAGTTCCTTATCGAGTTCTGTGCTCCTGACCACTGGTTTACCCAGAATAGTCTGCTCAAGGTGAGGCTGGAACAGAGAATCCACTGATTGTTTGGTAACCACTACAGTCCCTGGCTTTAAACCTGACACATGAAAGACAGAAGAAGAAAAAAAAAAATCAGGAAATGACTCAGAAAAAAATCCCAAGGTTTACAACATCAGGGTTAGGTCTGTTGGAATTCTAGGGAACACCCTTTTAATTAAGCAGTTAAATGGTAAAAGCAGTCTACCTATTCCACCTGAAGTTCCAATGCGCACTACGGTGACATCAGTGCAGCGAGCATGATACAGCAGCTTGATGAGCTCATGTAGCATTATAGAGATTGAAGGAATGCCCATGCCATGCTAGAACACAAAGAAAATTCAATGTAAATATTCAAAAAACACTGGCTGTCATCGTAGTATGGTCTGTCAATCAAACTGCAGCAAAGGGTCAATTGCAAAAGCTGTTAAAAAGAATTATGCTTAAGTTTTATTTTGGCTTGAAATCACTTTAAAATTAGTATTAAAATGCCACATTCCTTTTCTTTTACAAAGGAACCCAAATCTTTTTAGGAAAAAGGAATCTTTTTACACACACACACACACACACACACACACACACACACACACACACACTTTTTTAGAAGGAAGACTTTATTACTTTTATTAAAATGGTTTAAATTTGTTATGATAAAGGATTTGTTCACTCATAAAAAAACATATTTGAATGGTAATTGTTTCTGTTTTAATATATAAACTTCTGAACCTGAATTCTGATTTAACCCATTCCAGCTGAGGAAAATTAACATATGTAAACAAACCTAGAGACAGTGATCCTTCATTAATCATTCTAATCTGCTGATTTGCTGCTTCATAAACATTTATTTTAAGCATTATACACCTCTTATATTAGTTTTTATAATAATGACAAACTTCTTTAGTATGTTTTGATTACTACGAAGTTCAAAAGGAACAATATTTTAATACAAATAAAACGGCTTAATCCATTTCTAAATAAAAAGCATTTGTAACTCCAAATGTATGGTAAATGTGCATGTGGAGAGTTCACTCACACTGACAGACAACACAGGTCCCACTTTGTACATGGCATAACGATCAGTTCCTGCACATATATTTGGGTATTCTGCATTGGGGTCCACCAGTCCCAGTTCTTTGGCAATGTATTCAGTGAAAGATTTCATCCTCCATGGACTTCCCCCTACACACACAAACTGAGACAAAACGTACATCCAAGTTAAACAGAGACTCTTGATGAGACACATTTCAGGATTACAGAGCATGAAAAGGAAGTGAAACTTACTTTGACATCCCCAAACATCTTTGGCAAATCATGAGTGGATGTTCCCAAGTTAAAATGGTAAAGAATGTCATCTGTCATAGAGTCCAAGTGTGGATTGTTTACATATATTGACCTGTGCATTGAAAATGTGTTATATATAATATAAATGATATAAAACAGGTTAACTGTTGGTTATTGTGGTTAATGTATTGCGACAACATGAAGTAACACTTCTTTAACCACACACCATAATGTAATATTCATCACTACTGTACTGTATGTGTAACCCAAGGGTCAGGAAAAGGGCACTGTGAGAAACAATTTTTTTTTTTTTTTTTTTTTTTTGTCGTTTCTCACAAGAGTGAAAATAACTCATGCTGATGAAACTAAATTGCATCAAAATGTCAAGTGTCATCTAGGCACTGTGCTTTACAATGCTTTGAGTTGCGTAACCTATCTATATAAAGTATTTTAATACATTACTGAATGACATACCAAACGGAAGGACTGAAGGTCCATTCACATTGAGGAAAAGACAGATTTTTTACATACCCGTCGCATTTTCCGTTTTTCTCTTCACCCAGCGGCATTTTCTGTTTTCCTGAATGGCACATCAACAGACACTGACTATTCGACGCTAAAAAAAAAAACCTTAACCCATGCACAACTTTTGTCAGACAATTAGTTTGATAGAAAGCACTCCAGTGAGAAGTGTTCATTACCGTGTGATTGTGGTTTATGACCGGTTGATTTAGTGTCCACTAGCAGGGTTGCTTGATTAAAAATCGTCGGTGTCGGTCAGTTGCTGCTGCTGCGGTGTGTGAAACATCCGGCACAGTGCTCTGGTCTACGTGAACGTGACAGCGCTACACGAGCTTCGTGTGTTTTTCACAAACCCCGCCTCCAGCGGAAAAAAACAGGCTAATACAAGTAGCAGATTGGATTGTTGAGAAGTCCATCATACCGACGGGGTGGAGAATTATTTCTATAGGCTGGATACCAGTGTGCGTGCGAGTACTGACGTCATTAACAATACGCAAAAGCCGGCTATTTGACAGATATAACAGAAATCTTGAATATGTTGTTAATCTCTGTTTTATTGGCAAAAATCTGAGATATGAATGAATCATGTTATGTTTTTTATATTTTTAAATGATGTATAAGATGACACCAGAGTAGCCGTGCTGTTCCATGCAGTATTCTTTTATTAACTGAACTCAACATGATGACGTCACTCAGGTACGGGTAGCACACTCATACAAAATACATGACATCCCTTCTCTTAAGTTTAATACTATGCAATCTTCAGCAATGTATAAACTTTTTTTTCTTTTTCTTTTTCCATACTGTATTTGTAAACTCCTTATTATGTATGCTTTAAATAACTGCATAAACTAAATAGAACTTTTATTTATCTACACTATTCTTTCTTTATTTCTTTAATTGTAAACAGAGATGAAGTTTCTAATTCAAATCAGAGCTAAACATGCTGTAGATTTTCAGTCTTTGTATCTTGAAGGCAATTTCACTTGTCTCCCAGACCGGGTAATGTACTCATGTGACTGAGACTCAGTGACTACAGTTTCTTGTGTGTCATTGTCCAGCATTGATGACGTGTCAGGGACATGCGAGTCTATCACATCACTGACTGTGTTGTCTGTCACAGTTGTGAAACTTTTCTCTCCAGTCTTGAGAATATGTTTCCTGTTTCTCCTGTATGTTCTTCCTTCTGGAGTTTGTATGATGAAGGATCTGGGTTGTTCATGTTTTCGTGTGATTATTGCAGGTTTCCAAACATCTCCTTGTTGCACTCTCACAGTTTCTCCAACATGGACATTTGGAAGTAGTCTTGTTTGTCTGTCAAAGTAAGACTTCTGCTTGTGTTGTCTTTGTTTCAATTTATGATGAATTTGTATGTTGTTTTCAGGTGTCAACAAAGTGACTGAGGTAGGTATCTTGGATTTGAGTCTGCGTCCCATTAATAATTGTGCTGGTGAGTACCCAATACCATCCAACGATGTGTTTCTGTATTCCAATAAAGAAATGTAAGGATCATTTTTACCACACTGAGCTTTCTTCAGCAGGTTTTTTATGGTTTGGACTGCTCTCTCAGCCTGTCCATTCGACTGTGCGTGTCCCGGGCTGGATGTCACATGTTCAAATTCCCATGCTTTTGCAAAACTGCTGAACTCTGTGCTGGCATACTGTGGACCATTGTCTGAGACCACGGTATCCGGTATTCCATATCTTGCGAACATTGACTTCATTGCCATAATTACACTCTGAGCAGTTGTGTCAGACAGTTTGCTGATTTCTGTGAATTTAGAGTAGTAATCAACAGAAAGTAAGTAATTTGAACCATCAAAATGGAACAGGTCTGTGCCAATTTTGGACCAAGGTCTTCCTGGTATTGGATGTGATATCATTGGCTCTCTTGGATTACTGTTCTTGTGTGCATTGCACACTGGACATTGTGAGACAAACTCTTCAATTTGAGTCGACATGTTTGGCCAATACAGAACATCCCTAGCTCGTTCCTTACACTTTACAACTCCAAGATGTGATTCGTGTATTTTTGTTAGCATTTCTTTTCTCAATTGACTTGGAACAATGATCTTTGCCGATTTAAAAAGAAGTCCAGAAGTGAAACTTATTTCTTCTTTGAAAGTCCAGTATGTCTGAATCTGTTTTGGAACTTCACTTTTTTCTTTAGGCCATCCATCCATTGTCATTTTGCACAGTAATTGCATTTCTTGATCAGTAGCTGTAGCTTTGCGAAAAACATTTAGTTTTTCTTCTGAAACAGGTAAGTATGTTGTTATGCAGCACAATTCCAGCTGTTGACCAAGCAAATCTTCTGTACACTCATTCAGGTATGCACGACTTAATGCATCAGCAATGTGCATTTCTTTACCTGGCTTGTAAACTACCTTCAGGATGTATCTTTGAAGTCTGAGGAGCATGCGCTGCAATCTAGGTGGAGCTTGGTGCAGTGGTTTCTTAAAAATGATCTCCAATGGTTTATGATCACTTTCAACCTCCACTTCTTTGCCATAGAGATATTGATGAAATTTTTCACATCCATAAACAATAGCAAGCAACTCTTTTTCAATTTGTGCGTAATTCTTTTGAGCATCTGTTAGCGCACGTGATCCATATGCCACTGGCTTTTTGTCTTGTAGAATAACTGCTCCAATTCCTTCTGAGCTGGCATCAACTGAAAGCGTGACAGGTTTCTGTACATTGAAGAATTGTAGTGTTGGTGCATTTGCTAACAAATTCTTCATTTTTGTGAAGCTTTTTTGTTGCTCTTCCTCCCAGTGCCACTGAATATCTTCTTCAAGCAGTTTTCTGAGAGGAGCACTGATATCGGATAGATTTGGAATGAATTTGGACAGGTATTGCACCATGCCCATAAATCTCATGAGTGCTTGTTTGTTTTCAGGTGGTGGCATTTTTACAATAGCTCTTACTTTTTCCTCATCTGGCTTGAGACCTTCCTCTGAGATGATATGTCCAAGATATCTTATTTCTGAAGTTCTTATTTGGCACTTGCTCTTGTTCAGTTTTAGATTACACTCTCTTGCTCTTTCCAGTAGCTTGATGAGTCTGTGATCATGTTCTTCTGTTGTTTCTCCCCATACTAGGATGTCATCTATGACATTGACAACACCTTTAAGACCTTCTAACATCTGTGCAATTGCACGCTGGAACACTTCACTGGCTGAAGACACACCAAACGGTAAGCGAAGGAATCTATACCTGCCTATTGGTGTATTGAATGTACAGAGTTTGGAGCTTTCTTCATCTAGCTTTATTTGCCAGAAACCTTGATTAGCGTCCAGGACTGAAAATATCTTGGCATTTGGCATGCTGGATACCACTTCTTCCACTGTCAGTAATGGATAATGCTCACGCTTTATTGCTTTATTGAGGTCCTGCGGATCCATACATATACGGATTTTGTTTGGTTTCACCACAGTTACCATACTATTCACCCAATCTGTCGGTTCTGTCTGCTTTACTATAACTCCCATACTTTCCATCTTGTGTAATTCTTCAACTATTTTGTCTTTAAGGGCTATTGGAACCTTTCTTGGTGGATGAATCACTGGTGACACATCAGGGTCTGTTTTAATGTGATGCACAGTTGGTAAGCAACCAAGACCACAAAACAAGTCATCAAATCCTTTTAAAGGGTCGGCTTTATTTTCACTTTCACTTATTTCATGAATTCTTTTGACCATTTTTAGTTTTTCACAGGTTGTGCGTCCAAGTATTGCAGGTACGTTTCCATCCACCACTTGAAACTGAATGTTGTGTTTTTGTTTTCTGTAGGTGAAAGTTAGCTGTACTTGACCCACAGGCGACATCTTGTGGCCAGAATATGTAACTAGGTGACAGTTAGATTTCTTCAGTTTTCTTTGTGTTTCTAGCGTTGTGAACACATTGTGGGGCATTACATTACAGGCTGCTCCTGTGTCTAACTTGAATGTGACACTCTTGTTGTTTATTCTCAAGCTTTCAGTCCAGTTGTCCTTCAGATTTTGTGCTTCAGTGGTGACAGTGTGCACATTTTTCACTCTTTGATTTGTTTGCAGCTCAATAGTTCCTACAAAAAAATCACTTCGTTCATCATCACTTTGCTCATTTTCATCTATTGATTGTATTTTCTTTGTTGATACTTGAGTTTTGCACATCTTTGCAAAGTGATTCCTTTTGTTACAGGATTTACACACTTGTCCATACGCTGGGCACTTTTGATATTCATGTTGATATCCACATCGTGAACATTTCACGTGTGTTTTGGACTGATTTTCCAAAGCGTGTTGTCTACTTTTCTGTTCAAACTGCACAGTTTTGCCTCTTCTCTTTGTATTTTTAACACTGCTTATTTTATTCACGTCAACTTCTTCAACAAGCATTTTCATTTGATTTGATGTAATTTCATTGGCTCTGCAGGTGTCTATTGCCTTTTCCAACGTGAGATCTGCCTCCCGCAACAGCCTTGCGCGAACATTGTCATCTTTTATCCCGCAAACAATTCTGTCCCTTATTAGCGAGTCAGTCAAATCACCGAATTCACAGTCTTTCGCCTTGTGTTTAAGATCCGTGACGTATGCATCAATTGTCTCTCCGGTACTTTGTGTTCTCGTGAAAAACATGTGACGAATATATGGCAGATTCTTTCTTGGCTCACAGTACTCTTTAAATTTCCTTTTAAGTGCGTCAATCTTATTCACTTCTTCTGCGGTGAACTGGAGTGTGTTATAAACTTTGATCGCTTCTTCACCCGCGATATGAAGAAAGGTTGCACACTGTACTGTTTCTGATTTCTCCGCCACTCCGCTAGCAATGAGGTATAATTCAAATTTTTGAAGCCATACCTTCCAATTCTCAGCCAAGTTGCCTTGAAGAGACAACACTGATGGTGGTTGCAGTAGTGACATCTTCTCAGTTGTGCTTTCCGTTTACAATCCCTTTTCTGACACCATGTTATGTTTTTTATATTTTTAAATGATGTATAAGATGACACCAGAGTAGCCGTGCTGTTCCATGCAGTATTCTTTTATTAACTGAACTCAACATGATGACGTCACTCAGGTACGGGTAGCACACTCATACAAAATACATGACAAATCATTATAATAGTTTTTGATTCCCCTGTTAATTCTTATTTCATTGAATGTAAAAAATGTTGTACATTATCCTTTTTGGATTTATTTTATTTATCTTTTGTATTCATTTTTTACCATTATTTAATTAGTTTTTTGTTCACCTTTTATATTGTGTTGTAGTATGTATGTTCCTGATGGTTTGTGCAATAAAAAGTTAACTATTTCCCAAATGATGTTTAACAAAGCAAGGAAATTTGCGCAGTATGTCTGATATATTTTTCTTCTGGAGAAAGTCTTATTTGTTTTATTTCGGCTAGAATAAATACAGTTTATAAAGTAGTTAATTTTTTGAAACCCGTTTTAAGGTCAAAATTATTAGCACCTTTAAGCTATCTTTTTTTCCCGATAAGTCTACAGTACAAACCATCGTTGTACAATAACATGCCTAATTACTCTAACCTGCCCAGTTAACCTAATTAAGCCTTTAAATGTCACTTTAAGCTGTATAGAACTGCGCTGTGATCCTTAAATTGAGTCTTTAAATATGTTGTTAAATGATCATTCTTTAAAATATGCCTGACTTGTCGTTTTGGGGCGATGCAGTAGTGGTGCGCTGGTTCGAACCTCAGCTCAGTTGGCGTTTCTGTGTGGAGTTTGCATGTTCTCCCTGCCTTCACGTGGGTTTCCTCCGGGTGCTTCGGTTTCCCCCAAACTCCAAAGACATGCAGTACAGGTGATTTTGGTAGGCTAAATTGTCCTTAGTATGTGTGTGTCGATGTTTCCCAGAGATGGGTTGCGGCTGGAAGGGCATCCGCTGCGTAAAAAACTTGCTGGATAAGTTGGCGGTTCATTCCGCTGTGGCGAACCCGAATTAATAAAGGGACTAAGCCGACAAGAAAATGAATGAATAAATTGTCTGTAGTGTATGAGTGTATGGATGTGTGTGTGGATGTTTCCCAGAGATGGGTTGCAGCTGGAAGGGCATGAGCTGAGTAAAAACGAGCTGGATAAGTTAGCAGTTCAGTGGTGGCGACCCCGGATTAATAAAGACTAAACCGACAAGAAAATTAATGAATGAAGTTGTCGTTTTTTGTATAAAATTTGTTACAATGAAAGCTTGCTGGGTGACTTCTGTAAATCACGGTAAGAATGCGACACATTCTAATTTGTAGAAAACATAATGAGCTATTACTATTTTATTGTTCTGATGCTTGAAACCCTTTTCTTTGATCTGAATATGTAGCCTAATCTGACTGGCCTCTTTATTAGGTATGCCAACCACTTAATGCAGAATGACATTAGGCAATGACATATGGCAGCAGTTCAGTGCACTTAGCCATGCAGATGTGGTCAAGACCATCTGTAGATCAGAGAGGGTAACAAAGATTTTTTTAAAGGGTTAGTTCACCTCAAAATGGCGAATACACTGTTATTAATTATCCTATCGCAATTCCAATCCCGAGAGCTTCCTTGATCCATAGAACAGAAATTAAGATGTTTAGATGAAATTCGAGACCTCCTTTATTCTCCATTGACGGACACAGTCCAAATGTCCAGAAAAACAACTGAAACAGTCAAAACATTTTACATTCAATGAGACTTCTGTGGTTCAAGTGTAATCATGCGAAGCTTCAAGAGCAAATTTGTGCACAAAAAAAACATTCAGAAACTGAATACCGTATGACCCTTTGGTTCGCGGTCACCTGTTTGTCTTGTTTGTATTCTTCTGCGTGGGATGCTCTCTCTCACACACACACAGAGAGAGAGAGAACCAAGCGACGCATAGCACCGATCTGTCTCTCTCTCACACACACACACAGCATTGCTCGCGTGCTTGCTCACTCGGGAGTGATATTGTTAGACTGTGTGCCCGCTCCCTTTCAAGTTACACCAGGCTTACCGACTGCTCCCGCGACTTATTCTGAAATGTACTCCCTCACCGCAAGAAATGTGGTCAGCTCCCACGGTACAGCAGTGGGAATGTAGACCTCTAGTTCATATTTACCACGTCTCCCTTCTCGTTCGGTCAAAACCAGAAATACTGCCAAACTGTAGGTCACTTGGTGCGCGACTCGCCACCTTACCTCTCCCTCTCTCCTCCACACTTTCCTGTGATGACAATCACGCATACGTATTTGTAGGCATTAAATAAACGATATTTAATATTGAATACCTGTCTCCTATTTAAGTGCATTGTATTTTTATGACGATATAACGATATTGAAACTGACACCATTGCTATTTTTAGATCCCGCGGTATACCATATTACCGTATTATCGCCCAAGCCTACTTTAAACTGATATGGAAGACATTGACAAATATTTTCCTTTTTTTGCCACAAAAGTGTTCTGGAGTTTGAAAGTCTCGAGATGATTGCTTTCTTTGGAAGATGAGGGAGCTCTCAGATTTCATCTAAAATATTTTAAATTGTGTTTCGAATATGAACAAATGTCTCTGGGGATTAAAATTACATTAGGTTGAGCAATTAAAAACAGAATTTTAATTTTTGGGTTCACTTTTTAATGTTGTATTGGTATTGATGCTACTTTTTTTCTAATACTTAATCTAGCATGGCCTTCATAGTCACCATGTCTAAATACAGCAGAGCACCTTTAGGATGTGTTGGAAAAGGAGATTTGGATCATTATGGAATCATTCAAAAAAAAAAAAAAAAAAAGAATGCTAAACAAATCTAAAAGCTGCAGTAATAATGTCACGCTCTAATGTGAAAATGTGTTGCACCTTGTTGAATGAATACTATGAAACAATAAGGCAGTTTAAATGCAAAAATGGTCCAACATTGATGAGCAATGTGTACTTTATAAAGTGTCCAAATTCAACATTTAACTTTACTTGGAAAAACACGGTTCTTTGGAGATTCGCAATGGACAATCATTCTCAATACATCAGGAAAAAAAAATTATTCCCAATAAAAAATCTTCCAAAAAAAATTTAAATAAAGTCACATCTGAAAGAGGATGGTCATGGTTGTACAACATAACAATGTGTGCAATGAATAATTGTAAGTCCTACAGCAGCACATGTGTGATACAGATTTGCATGTGTTTGTTCTGGTTAACAGATTTTTTTTTTTACATAATTTTACTCCAAATTCACTTGGCATCATTAATCAAGTGTGTGAAAGAACTTCTTTTAGTGAATAAATGTAATTTAACAGAATAAGAAAGAAATCACAATAAGTTATAGTTTTCTACAAGTCTATGTTGATTAGCAATGTATCTTAAATACACTTTATTCTGACAAAAAAAAAAAAAAACACCATGATGGCATGAAGAACTCAGATATTCAATGTTTTCCAACAATCGTGTGTTTATATTGTCATATTTGTTATTGTGCAGCGCTGCCCTCTATCTGCCAGTGTGTAAACTCATGATCATAATCTTAAAATCAGAGGAAAATTACAAGTATTCACATTTTGCACTGGTGGATCATAACCAGATTTAATGTAGTGCTTCAAATGCCATAAGAAACCAGAGCAAGTGACAAAGAAAAGGAAAGCATGCAATGTACAGAAAACTCAAAACAGCTGTTCATGCACACCATAGCCCTAAAAAAAATTGTGCAAAAATATGGCTTTTTAATGTCATTCTCCTTCATGTAGTAACACTATCAGGACCTCCTGATGGCAAAGGCGAAAAGACTATCTTTTTAAAAGTGGTAAGATTGTTGAGCTGCACAAGTAAGGACGTTCATCACTGCCGAGATTGGATGAAGTAATTTTAAGAAAACCCTGGGTATCAAGGCTTGTATGCCTTAATATAACATAAATAATGACCCTTTTTGAAATATGCAAGGAAAAAACACTACCTATTTACTTTTTTTTATTTTGAGTATAGACATCAACACTATTTTTGATGACGTAACCTGGGGATTTATTTTCATAATAATAAAGGATACGAGTCTTGATACCCAGGGTTATCTTTAAAATATCCTGAGAGTTCAACTACGTTCCTGGAGGGCCACAAGCACTGCATGTCTTCTTTGTTTGTCACACCCATTACAGGTCTTTCAGTCTCTGATGAGCTGATGATCTGAATCAGATGTGTTTGGTTAAGGAGACATGGCAAATGTGCAGAGCTGATGGTCCACAAGGAAATTGGTTGAGAAACACTGATCTAGACTGAGTCAGAGGATCAGATGGGATGTCAATCATGACACAGTCTGATCATCGACCCAGATTAAGGCCCTTTTGATGTTAACTGCAGTACAATGACCTTAAAACTGCATCTGTGCAAGAAGAGATTAAATGTCGTTGAATGCCACGTCTCCTCACGCACCACAAATTTGCCAATTTGGAAGCGAGATAGCACCAAATATGGAACACTGAATAATAGTTTTATTCTCTATAGTATTTTATAGATTGAATGCTCTCTCTCTGTCACTTGCTTCTTGTTTTGACATTTTGTAGTACTTACAACCTGGTTACGGTACACCAATCCACCAGACACAATATAAGTATTTGTAATTTTTCTTCTGGTCATAAGATGCTGATTACCAGAATGTATGAAAAAACGTGTGCTAAAAAAATAGTGGTTTAAAAAGTAAAATGTAATACAGACTTTTTCCCCATCTTCCTTTGGATACATATATCTTCACTCGATGACCAGAAAGGCAGAGAATTATGGAGAACATAATTTATTCATAATCATATTCTCTTATACTTGTTTCAAGCATATTCCAAACACAATTTACTCAACCTCGAGTGGTTTAAACCTTTATGAATTTCTTCCTTCTGTACTTATTGACCCATAATCATGGACTTTAATTGTATTGTATTTGTTTTTCCTGCTATGTCAATGGTTACAGGCTTCCAACTTTCTTCAAAAGATCTTTTTGGATGTTTAACAGAAGAAAGAACTCAAAGGTTTAAATCATTTGAGGTTAAGTAAACAGTGAGTAAATTTGGGTTAACTATCCCTTTAAGAGACTACTCCTTTTTGCAACTGGATATTAATACAAAATATGCACAACATTGTGAAAATCAATTAAGCAGAGAATCAAGTAAAAGACAATTCTTTACTGAGTGTAATGGATTCAAAGAGCTAATACACCACACTGTGATATAAATATTGCCTTTAACCAAATGTGCAAATAGTGGAGGAGGATCCTTGCACAAGATCCAGAGTTTATAATCAAACATTTTTGAAGTAATCTCTAATACTGAAAAGATATAGTACTGTAACAAATACGTCCGTACTCCAATCCAATCCACAACATTGACATACATGTCACACATACTCATATCAAGAAGAAAGATGTATTTAAGGTGTTGCGCTAGGAAAAATAGAAAAATAACTTGAGTAAAAATGTTACAACTGCCCTGAAGTTAAGACAGTTGAGTTTTACCATTTTTAGATCCATTCAACCGATCTAGCGGAAAAAAAAACATTTAGCCTAGCTTAGCATAGATCATTGAAATGGATTAGACCATTAGCATCTTGCTTAAAAATTAATAAAAAAATAATTTTCATATTTAAAACTCGACTAGGCTGTAGTTTCTGGTAGAATTTTTTTTTCTAGGTCGATATGGCTGGACACTATTTTAGTTGCTGCGTAATATTGCACCTACTGCAGTCATGGTATGGCCTTGATTATTACATCTGAACAAGTACCTAGCCATATCGGCTGAAAGAATAGCAACTGTCAAGTCTTAGTGCACAATGTAATTACAGAAGAGTCAAGCTTTAAAATAGGAAAATTGTTTGGCGAGACGCTAACAGTTTAAACATTCAATTATTTATGCTTATCTAAAAGTGCCTGGAGATCGGCTGAATGGATTCAAAAATAGTAAAACTCAACTGTTTAACCATACCATATCAGTCAACTAAAAAAAAATGGAGAGTTCCTTTAAAAAACCTCTTTGTTACCGATCAGATTTAATAATTGTCAAAGTGACAGTTCTATTTTGCTTGCAAACAGCATTTGCTTTTATAATATCTTGTCCAAAAGGAAAATATTCCAGTGTGATTCGATAAAGCCTTACACAGACATATGAACTTGCTAGAAATAGGTCAGTGGTTTAAGGTGCACATCACTTTAGTCTTTAACACTTCAAGCCCACTTCAAGCTACACCGTGAACTTTAACACATCAAATGAATAAAGCAGTGTATCAACACAACATATACAATATTTAGCAAGGTTCAAAAGCCTGAGTCTGACATCAAACCTGTCCGATGGTTAGAAACAATAATAGAAATTCCAACTGTCTGGAGAAAACAAACCATGTTCAGAAATTGAGAAAATGACTTTTTCATTTTAAAAATAATATTTGTCTTTACAAAACCTCAATTTTTATTGTGAAGCTTAAGGTGGTTTTATACCATTTATAACTAACTTGTAAACTCAAGTGATTTTGAAGACGTCCCACTTTGGTCACCATTTTTTATCAATTTAAAAGAACACAAAACAAAACAATAAAAATTTTCCAATTTAGTCAGACCTATGAAAAAAAAAATGTCAATAAGTGGAACCATTATTATGTAAAATACTCATATTCTTGTATTGGTTGTAATATTAGTTTGGTGAGGGCACTTACAAGTGTTTGTAGTTGTTGTTGTTGTAACTGGTGGAGAAGTATCTGGGCAGGTCACTGGGTCTCTAGTTTAAGTGAAAAAATGATAATTGGAACAAGATTTGCCATATATTTTCATTATACCACACCTATAGTCGTCTTCTGACAAATCTGTGTTTAATAAACTCTAAAATTTAAATAAACAATTCAATCAAATTTGGAAAGAACTTACTCCATTCTTCAAAACAACTGGATGATCTGGTAAAAACTCAGGTTTCTCCTTAGACATTGGACTGTTTGCCATCTTAACTAGGAAATCCCTAGTGTAGCAAATTCTTTCAACTACAACAAAAAAAAATATAGATACAAACAGCAATGCATTACACTTGTGGGATCGTTTTGACAATCTATATTTAAATTTAGAAAAATAAAAAAGTATGCATTTTTGGCAACACTTTTGCAAGACAACTGTGTTTTGGGGCTTTAAAAAAACAAAAAGATGAAAGCAGGTTAAGTTCAGAGCGTTTTTGCTATTGGCTGCGTACATATTCTGAGTGTTAGCGCTGTTTTTTTAGAACTGAAAACTGAGGGTGTATGCTTACATGTGCTTAAACTTACCCAGGTATTCAACCCAGCTATCTATTTATCTTCAACACAGCTGATAGTGGTGTTCACATGCTAAACAGATATAACTGGGATTGGCTCCACGACTATCATTATTATGCTCCCTGTATATGCTCCTACACTTATAAATCCAGAATGCAAGGTAAAACCATTGCGGTAAATGATCCAACAAATCAAACTTTTACAAAAAGCTGATATTTTGTAGTCTAAACCCAGCATTACAAAATGTATTCTGAGACAGTCACTTACCTTTCTTCTTTTGTTGGGTCTCGGTGCTTTTAAGGTGCAGGATTTCATAGAAATTCTCCACTGTAATAATGTTGTCCTGTTAAAAGTAAAACAGTTATCAGACAAAAAAAAACATCCAGCATCAACAATTAAATTCCAAAGGATGAAAATATTATCTCAGAACAATAAAATTATTCTTACGGGTTTTTCTATTGGTCTAGTCTCAGCATAGCTTTGAGGAACTAATTATGAAATGTCCAAAGAGAGATACAAACACACACACACACACACACACACAAATTAACAAAACTGACATTAAATGAAATTCCATTTTCAATGATTAAACCTTGTGTGAATGTTCAAATTGTGTACCTTGATTCAAGCGGAAACGGCGCAGTGGTCTCGCTGGTTCCAGGTGTCTGACTATCCTTTTTGACACATCCATTTTTCTAAGTCAGGGTAAACATTGCAGCACACGTGTGAGCCAACATTTATGAAGTAACAAACACATGTCTTCATTTCTTCATGCACGTCTTCAGCAACACACTTTTATAATCAGATTAAATTATTTTCATCTAAAATCTTGTAAATTACAAATATAAACTTCATATTCATATACATATTCAGATGATCGTTAATATTTAATGCTCAGTTAAAATTGAATTATTTGTTATTTGTGGTTCTTCCATTTAAATTTCATACGTTTGTAAAGTCAGGTATAACGTTACATGTTATCATATGTATATGTACATTTTCAGATGACCATAAAGATTTAAGTAAAAAGTGATTATTTATAGCACAGCAACAGACCGTCCCGGTTATCAGTTAACGTTAACTTAACTGTTAAACAAGATGGTAGCTATACAATACCATCCTGTCACACAAATAAAAGATAAACTTTCCACTGCATTTTAACTGAGGTAGATGCTCGCCAGTCTTAGACAGGTGATGCTATTAAATCTGTAACGTTAGCCTAACTTACTCAAATATTTTTATATACAAATATAATAATAATCGGAGTTATTTTTCATATTTAACACGACGCTTGAGTCAGGTGAAATTATCTAAAGTCCAGCTGAATCAAAGCAAAAAACAAAGAACCACACAACCCGATGTTAAAAATGTGAAATATAACGTTACTTAGCTGATATGAACTTAATCATCTGACTCAACCGGCATCATCATCATCGGTGCTAACTGCTAGCCACGATGACTGCGAACTTTTCCTTTCAGAGTGTAATTTTGTTTACCGCATAAAGTCTTCACGACAGACAAAAAGTAACTCAGAAGAATGTAACAAATAAAAAAGTCGAAAATCTGCAATTAAGTGTAATGTAGACTACTTACATGTGCTCAAAGCTCCAAGCTTCATTCACCGCGTCCTCTGCCTCTGTCATTTTTAAACAAAATCATTCCGCCTGAGCTCGTGACTCTTCATCTGTGTGTCCGTTATCCCTTTGCTTGACCTCTCCCATTATCACTTACACATATCTAAAATAATTTTCCGCTCATTGGAACTGGTTATTCACTAAAATTATTGTGTATTGTATGAATATTAACTTCTTAAATTGCAGATCACCAACAGAAGAATTAGGCTTGGCCTATTTTTTTTAATTTAACGTTAAGCATGCGTCAATATTGCATGTGTGTGTGTGTTTGTATGTATGTGTGTGTGTATATATATATATATATATATATATATATATATATATATATATATATATATATATATATATATATATATATATATGTGTGTGTGTGTGTGTGTGTGTGTGTGTGTGTGTGTGTGTGTGTGTGTGTGTGTGTGTGTGTATCTTGTAAAGGTATTTTGTAAAATGTTTAAATACAAAAATACTGTATTTCTTATACATGTTGTATGTTGTAGTTTATTTGATAGACTTAAAATGTAGGTATTTGGTATTTTATTTTAAAATACATATGCAATGTATTTTTGCCCAAGCCTGTGTAAGCTATACACTCACCGGCCACTTTATTAGGTACTCCCTTTTTCAGGGGCGCCCCCAAGGGTAAACTCTGGTCACCCCTTCTCACCCCTTTGGCCACCCCAATATGAGTTTGCTGTTGATATTATTAATTGAAATGTACTTACGTAAATTCACAATATTTCAACAAATAAATAAATAGCAGCCACTGTTGTGGATTGATTCGTGCCACTGACGTAGCTGATTCACTGCCCCTCCCCCTCCCCAATCGTCGTTGACAGAACGCACACACCTTCAATAGACAGCAATGGCAAGAAGCTCTATTAATATTATCATGGGTCAAAAAGGAATATAAATGATATAAATGCGGTCTGTATAGTGAGAGTATGTGTATGTAGTAATTGCTTTTGTTCAGTTGTTTGTTTTATTAATTAATTTTTATTCATTTTAGAAATGGCATATACAGTATGTTGTACAATAAAAGTAAAAAAAAAAAATATATATATATATATATATATATATATATATATATATATATATATATATATATATATATATATATATATATATATATATATGAAAAGTGAAAGTGTGTATATATGAAAAAAAAAATATTTTCATTTGGTTTACACATGTACTTGCTGAATTATTTCAAGAAATAAATTGCATAAATTGCAATATTTCAAGAGTAATTAATTGGAGTAAGTAAGTAAATTAACTGACCACTGAACCACAATGGCGCTGATACGCTTATGTTATTTCCATCATTATTATCCTGCAGGCTGCATTTTGCTCATGGGGCTGAGAGACAATAGATAAGAAGAGCGGAGCTGCGGCAAAATAATGAATAAAAAGAGTGAGGCTATGGTCAAATAAATAAATGAAAAAGTGCGACTGCTGAGAGTGCAAGCAGCTAGAAACACTGGCCCTGGCGGCCAAAAAACTGACCGGCCCATCGGGAACTCTCCCGATCCTCCCGATTGGCCAATCCGGGCCTGATTGGCAGCAAAAGGTGGCCCTACACCATACGAATGAATAAGTGTGGCTTAAAACCAGGCGTTTCACTCACATTGTCTAACCTCTGCATGTGTGTGTTTACAGTATACAGTTGAAGTCATAACTATATAATTATTAGCCCCTCTTCGATTAGTTTCTTTTTTATATATATATTTCCCAAATGATGTTTAACAGAGCAAGGAAATTTTCACAGAAGGCTATGTCTGATAATATTTTTTATTTATTTGTTAGATGTGGTTCTTCCTTCTTGTTGGTATGCTGACATTACCCTGGATACTGTGGTTCTTGATAAATCACAAAGACTTGCTGTCTATGTCACAGATGCTCCAGCGAGATGTGCACCAGCAATTTGTTCTTTTGAACTCTGATATGTTAACCATATTGTTATGTGCATCGCTACATTTTAAGCAAAACTGTGCTATTACTCTGCTAATTAAACCTTCACACTCTGCTCTCACTAGTGCAGGGGTCACCAATCCTGGTCCTGGAGGGCCAGTGACCCTGCAGTGTTTAGCTCCAACTTTCCTCAACACACCTGCCTGGGTGTTTCAAGTATACCTAAGACAACGATTAGCTGGTTTAGGTGTGTTTGATTAGGGTTGGAGATAAATTCTGCAGGACACAGGCCTCCAGGAACAAGTTTGATGACCCCTGCACTAGTGGAATGTGCAATCAATTAAGAGATTGGCCACCAGGCTTGTCAAATTTTGTCATGAACCTCCAACACTTAATTGGCCAGTGTTTCAGTTTCATTGTCTAACCCCTGTATGTATATCTACAAATATGTCCTGTCCTATATAATAAATAAATAAATAAATAAATATAAAATACTCCAACTGTTGTTTTTTGTAATACTGGCATATATGGGCAACATTTTAATTAAATTGTCACCTTGGAATTATAAGGTTCTATCTGCATTCTGAATGACTTTAAGATATTGAGCTTTAAAGTTTTTGCATTCCATATAGCAAACAGTATGTGTGTAACATTTGTTTTAAATAAAATGTCTTAAAATGTAAACAACTCATAAAAACAATCCCATAATGTATATAAGTTGTCATTTTATAAGAATATTTTTAATAACTACATTTGGACAAAAAGGCGAGATAGAACCTTATAATTCTATAAGGTGACGCAATGTAATTAAAAAATTTATTAATAAGTACTTTTATTTTCACTTGCAATAATGTTTACATGGTATAATAGAGCTACAAATTAGTTTAGCACATTTTTATGTCTTTATCCAAACAAATCACATTACACATCCTGTTATCCAATGAACGGTGCACATCGAACAAGATCAGAAACAAGTCGAGAAGCTGTTTTTTTTTTTTTTTTTAGCCTATTCATTTTCTTTTTCTGCCAAGTCCCTTTTTTAATCAGGGGTCTCCACAGCAGAAGGAACAGCCAAAGGAATAGTCCACTCAAAATGAAAATGTGTTAATTTACTCTCAGGCCATCCAAGATGTAGGAGACTTTTTTTTCTTCAGCAGAACATTAACAGCTGTGTGAGTATGCCCTAAAGACGATTTCTAGTTGAAACCATTGTCCTCTGCTTGCCACATAATATAAGCCAATGGGTGCCATCACTAGGACCAGATGGAATCTGTGGACTTTTTTTGTTCTTTCTGCGCAGAAGTTTGTTAAAAATCTGCGGATTTATGCGGAATGATTTTGGGAGAATCATAACTAAAACTTTAATATGTGAAATAAAAAAGTAATACCTTTTTAACTTTTATTTAATGTTTACAATGCAAATCCAATTAGATCCACTTTATTTGGTAAACAAAGCAAGTCTCACATATATCAACAAAAGGACAAAAAATATGATGTCACAAACTGTATTGTAAATACATCATATAAATATTTTCATATTCGTTAATAATATTACTGAAATTAATTTAAAAACTGAATATAAATGTACACACATTTACACTAGTAAATAAACAGAATAAACGATGGGCTACAAATCTGCAGAAGTCTGCGCACGCAGATTCCGTGTGAGCCTAGCCATCACATTGAGGGTGTACTCACACACAGGTGTCAAATCCAGTTCCTGGAGGGCCGTAGCTCTGGACAGTTTAGTTCCAAACCTGCTTCATCACACTACATGTAGGTTTCATACAAGCCTGAAGGACTCAATTAGTTTGATCAGGTGTGTTTAATTAGGGTTAAAGCTATACTGTGCAGAGCTGCGGCCTACCAGAGACAGGATTTGACACCAGTGCACTAAACTCTCCTAACCGTGCAATAGTATCTGGCTGCAGCCTTGGATTTGCAAGCTGAGACTGCTTATTTCAAACTTGTAATGTCAGACTCAATGCACTCAGTGGAGCTAGACCAGGGGTGTCCAAACTCAGTCCTGGAGGGCCAGTGTCCTGCATTGTTTAGCTCCAACTTCAAATGTGGTGAATCTGCTCAGAAAAATATTCGGCTGTGTATTACGGTGTTCTAAATGACCTAAAATAAATGCATCGATGACATAAGTGTGCACGAAATCGGAAAGTAAAAATGCACACAGGGGAGGTAGGGACAATAACAAATTTGCCTAGTGCGAGTACAGCCAGAAATTTACAAAAATAATAATAATGATGAAAATATGGGTAAAACATGCATGTGACAAAGAACCGAGGTCTTTTTAATAGCTCTGTGCAACAAAGTGAACATTGTTTGCATCAAGTGCATCAGTTCACATGTGAAAAGAACCATATAGGTATTATGTCCAGCATTATTTTTTTTCCTTGGACTTTTTGATAAATGATGACAGCAAAAACTATAGATATCACTCTTATACCTGGTGTTTATTAGCTACACTCTGTAACCCATTAAGAAAGTCATGCTAGCCACATCACCTCTAGTAAACGTGAAGCAGTACAACCATTACATTTATATGCAAAAGTTTTCTTAATTAAAAATGGCTCTTAATAAAAAAAATCTTAATTTCTGTTTACATTGGTTTTAAGACAACCCAAAATAACCCTGAATTTCAATCAAAAAAAAAAAAAAAAACACGCTGCTATTCTGACCAATTGTCATTTTCTAAGGTGTCATTATTTAATATAATAAAATATTATTCAACTAAGTCAAATATATTTAATGTTAAACATACTATTATACTTAAAAATGAACATAAAACAAATACTTTATTCAAAGCACTTCATTCGCCAGTTCTGCCGAAACTGATGCCACCTGTAATTTGCAGGTAAACTATCCTTCAAAGTAACATAAATGACAGTGTTTCAATAATTTTAGAAGTTTAAGGTACATTTACAGGATGTAAATCACAAAAACTTTAAAGTTATTTCTTTAGCATTTTCAAAAGTTTCACAAACAGACAACAATATTGCCCTGTTCAGATCTAAAAGAACAGATGGGGAAGGAAAAAAAAAAACAAATTTTGTATATGACAGGCAATGTTGTCACGTTGCAAAAAAACACTACAGACCTGCACACATTTGGCTTTGTGCTACGAACTTATGCCCATGGACCAGCATTTCTCAATTGCAGTTATCAATCTCCACCACTCACTGCACATTTCACATCTTTTTCTTTAATTTGACAAAAAGCACCCTCCACAAAACATTTCCCCATGATTCCTGTTTGAAGAGAGCAAATGCATTTAATTTAAAAGTCATTTTAGTGTGCAATGTGTGAATTTATATCATATTTATTCATAGAGATATGTCATAGTTTGTGAGTAGTGAGGCATGAGGACTAGGCCTGGTATAATGATATAAGCACAATATAAGATTCTGCAATATAACCTTGGATAAAAATATTAGTTTTACAGTATTGTGATTACTGCTCCAAAATGTTATTTTTCAAATGTCTAGTTAAAAACTAGAACTTTTCCCCTTTGAACACAAGGTATTTTATTTTGAGAAACATTTAAATTATTTTGTAACAGTAAACGTTAATAATTTCAATGAATGATTGACTTCTGCTGTCTTCAATAGTTTCAAAAACAGATTTCTTTACAATTGAAATGGCATCTTTGGATGTTTTATAAAAAGCAAAAAATATATATAAAAAATATATATACAGTTAAAGTCAGAATTATTAGCACCCCTGAATTCTTAGCCCCATTTCTAAACATAATAGTTTTAATTACTTATCTGTAAGAACTGATTTATTTTATCTTTGCCATGATAACAGTATTTTAATAGATCTTTTTTCAAGACGCTTCTATACAGCTTAAAGAGCAATTTAAAGGCTTAACTAGGTTAATTAGGTAGGTTAGGGTGATTAGGCAAGTTATTGTATAACGATGGTTTGTTCTATAGATTATCGGGAAAAAAAATCCTTAAAGGAGCTAATAATTTTGACCTTAAACAGGTTTTTAAAAAATTAAGGCATGCTTTTATTCTAGCAGAAATAAGACAAATTAGACTTTCTCCAGAAGAAAAAAAAATATTATCAGACATACTGTGAACATTTCTTTGTTCTGTTAAACATCATTTGGAAAATATTTAAAAAAGAAAAAAAAATCCAAGAGGGGCTAATAATTCTGACTTCAACTGTTTATAAATAAAAAAAATTGTAAACATATCTTAGAAACGGTATTTAAAAAAATTTTGGCGGGTTTAAAACTGACTTTTCCAAACTGCGGTAAAATTTAAAAACGTTTATTTCATGCCTAGTGTCTGGATTGACAACCACCGCTTTAGGGGAAAAAATACTAATGCACAGGACATCATTTTTCATGGTATTGTGTTTTGTAGTTGTGTTCATTGTGTTCACGTAGACGATAGCATTGGTGTTATTTTCATGATCTCTTTTTAAATGGATTTAATACTGATTGGTACTGAATGATAATTATTTTCAAAGTTTGTTTTCAAGCAACCAGGCAAATGAAAAAAAAAAAAAAAAACTCCCAAAAAAAAACTCCCAAAGAAAGAAGTGAGAAGAACAAGCTGCGACCTTTAATTGCATCAAATATGAAGTGACAATATTTCTGTATTTATGAGAACATTTACAACCTCACAATGTTAGGAAGGTCATTTTTAATCAAATTCATATAAAAAAAATCTTAACACCCATGTACTGTAAAATCTATGGTATTCATTACTCGGAGGAGAAAAACATTCAATGGCACACGTAATACTGAGCCTAGATACTGTCACTGACATGCATACAATTTGCAGTTTTATCAAAATCAAGCTATTCAAGCTTTGAATCTAAATTTAAGCAATTTTCATCAGCAGTTTTGTGGAAAGCAAGCAAATGAGAGAAAACATCTTCATTTAAATCAATAGAAACCATATCCAACTTTTAAAATATATATATATTTTTTTTGAAAAATGCCGATTTCAACAATGATGTTGCCCAAAAGCATATCTACAAAATAAAAACCTGAATTTTTCTGGTGCCAATTGGTCGTCCATTTAACTCTCGAACAGCAACTAGCGCCTCTCTGTGGTTATCAAATGCTATAGTTGCTGAACGTTTTGGAGCTCCATTCCTATCAAACAGCAACGAGGCAGATCCTGGAATCACTCTGTACCCATAGCAGAAGTCATAGATTTCTTCTATTCTTATCTGTGAGGGCAGATTGACCAACTTAACGCAGGTCGGAGCGTCAAATTGCGCGTCAGGAGGTTCGTAATGTTGACGACCATTGCCATCAGGACCCGGCCCAAAATTAGGCTCAAAGTGTTCGTGACCTCCATAACCTTGGTGCATATTAGGCAGCATCTCAAAATCACCTTGGGGCATCTGGTTGTTAATGAAACCAGGACCATCGTTGAAAACTTCATTTCTCTGAAAATTCCTTTCTTCAAAGTTCCGATCCTGAAAGTTCCGATCCTGAAAGTTCCGATCCTGAAAGTTCCGTTCCTGAAAGTTCCGTTCCTGAAAGTTCCTTTCCTGAAAATTCCGATCCTGAAAGTTCCGATCCTGAAAGTTCCGATCCTGAAAGTTCCGTTCTTGAAAGTTCCTTTCTTGCGGGCTAACCATCGGTTGGTCGTTCACACCAAACTGGGCCATCTGGGACATTGTTATGCACTTCAGCATGACTTCAGATCCAAGAAACCTCTGTCCGTTTAGGGACTGTCCCGTCATGGCCTCCTTTTCAGTTTGAAAGATGACCAAAGCCTCACCAAGCCCAGCTCCTCTTTCATCCCGCAATAAGATGACCCTATCCTCCGTGAGCGCATATCCATGAAAGAAGTCCATGATCTCCACCTTACGAACATCAAACGGGAGGTTGCGTACATAGAGACACCTCAACTGCGAGTCAGGAGTGTTTCGCTGAGACTGTGAGGCTTCAGCTGAACGCCTTGACCCTTTTTCCTCACCTCTAGCATCAATGGATGATTCCAACATGGTGACCATTTTCTCCTTGGAGATGGGTGACACATACACTACCTTGTTATACATCATTTCCTTATTATGAGCCAAGCCAGCACAATAGTCTGTCAGACTTCTAAACACCACAACAGCCGATTTGGACTTATCATCCTTTTTCGAGGAGAAGATAATTATCTGATCATCCTTTAAAGCAACTGGCTGAAGAAACACCCTCACATCTCTCTTTTCAACCAAAGGAGGCAAGTTCTCAAACATGATGCAGTACTCCTCATGGGAGGGCGATCGTGATCTTGACCTGTAGGAAATGGGAGATCGAGATCTCACTCGCTCTACTGGTGTTCTTTTCCGCATATCTGCTGCAACGATGAGACCTCCTTCTTTCAGCCACTCCTCTTCAGTGCATCTCGTTATTTGTATGTACCGTGATCCCATGTATTGTCGATCTCTCTTAAGACCTTCAATTGCATCCTCTTTGGTGGTGAAGCGAACCATACTGTTTCCGCTGAACATTCCTCTAGGGTTTTTCAAAAACAGAATATCATCAACTTTTAGCCCAGCAAAAAAGTTATGGACGTTGTCTTTTGTTGCAGAAAACGGCATGCCTGTTAATTTCAAATAAACCTCGGCTCTCTCTGGTGCATCCCCGTCTCTCTGGCGTCGTGCTTCACTGAATGTAGACGAAGCTGGCCTTCCCCTCATCTCTGGATGATCTGCCCTTCGTACATCTGGTCTGGTGTCTTTACTGAACGGCAGAGGACCTTGTTCCGCAGAAGCTCTTTTCACAGGCTCCTTGTACATGGCCCTATTTTTAAACTCTGATCTTCTGGTGCTTTCCTCTAGAACACTCTGCATTTCTGACTTGCTACTTAGAAACAAGTTGACAGTAGACCCCTTAATGCAGCCCCCTGAGCGCGACATCGCTCGTCTTGCATCTTCATCAGATGCAAATATTATAAAAGCCTCCTCAAGCTCCCCACCAATTATATGAACCCCACCATCAGGGATTCTGAGGCCAGTGAAGAAATTGCGAATGTCCTCAGAACCAGCAGTGACTCTAAGTCCCTGTAATCGGATGACCACAGCCATGATGGAGCACACACAACAGCACCTGCAGACAGAAGGGGCACATATAATTGCGTTATCGCTGACAAAACTGTTGCCTCCATATCACATAATATGCAATAGAGATCCCAACCATCACTTTAAAACCAATGTTAGCAGTCCTTGTAAGTTAAACAAATCTCACCGGCCAATAAACATACACAACTGACAACGATCACAACCAATTTACATCAAACAACATCTGCAGCAGAGAAAAGCATCTTTGCTCAACAAGACAGCCTACGTTGGATTTTCAGGTAAAACTCGTTCTCCAACCATCAACAACATCCTTTAAGTTTCTACATGCAAATATGCAATTAAAAACAACAAGTCCAGTCTTTGCCCAAACATTATTTGCACAAATACTTGTTTTTTTTCACAATCAAAACACCACTGCATGCTGAAAGACTGTAAGTCTTAAATACTTTGCATTTTAAATCTTGCTATTTTATACCATCCAGTCACTAAAAGATTGAAATCTGGCAACAGCTTGACGATGAATTGCATCAGGTCATTTGGCATTTAAAAGGACAAGGACCTTAGCATGAAGCTCACAAACCATTTACAAACTGCCACCTAACCAAATCAACCTAACCAGTCAACAAGAGGACAAAAAACAAATTTACAAAAAATGACAATAATATTGCAAGCAAGTTTTTATATATATATATATATATATATATATATATATATATATATATATATATATATATATATATATATATATATATATATAAAATATTATTATTTCCTTTTTAATGTATGAAAAGTAATCATGAAGCAACAGTTCAAGCTACAGTCCAGGGCCCCGTTTCAAAAAGGAGGTTAAGTGAAAACTGTGTGTAACCCACCCTAAAATGACAAAAACTTCGGGTTTTCCATTTCAAAATGGCAGGTTTGTCAAACTCAAGAAAGCAGGGTAAGTCAAGCCTGTTTCTGAAAGAGAGATAACTTTACTGTGGTAACTTACTCCGTAAATCTTGCATTTCATTATTAGTGTTATTATATTATTAATTACCTCCAGAACGTATGGAACGTATCAAGAGCATCTCTTCTCTGTGTCAGACACACAAGTGCACTTTTAAAACTATTATAAACTAAATTTTTGATATTTTATTTTAAGCGTTTATCTTAACGTGCGTGTTAAAGTGGGAACCTTAAATTAGATATTTCCACTAAACATTGAGTTAAGGTTAGTGGCATTCTTGTTTTGTCAAATTTGTTGTAGAAACTATGCAGTAGCCTATTTTATGTAATTTAATGCAATTACATCTGAAATAACTTCAAAATTACAGCCAATTCCTTACTTTTTCCAAGTAAAAAGTTAATAAACGTCACACATTACATTACATATTTTTTATCATACTAAAATATGTAAATACATTAAATGTTACCTTATGCATAACTAAGCAGCTATGTTTTCCCATGCTAACTCTTACTGTTTCACTGATGCAATGGTGTTGCTTTTTTAAATATATGGGCATGAGCAAATCAAGTTCAGCTGAAGAAAAAAATGCTGATCTTTTTTCAGATGTTGCCATGGTGACTCGTAATATCTGCGCTCCATTGATAATGCCTTTTTTTGTGCGCTTAACTCTTAGTCAACTCAAAGTTGATTGACCCAACTCAGATTAGCTATTCTAAAAACTAAAACTGAGTCAACTAAAGAGTTCAAGTTTAAACTCTGAGTTGGTTAAACCTCCTTACTGAAACAGGTCCCTATTTTGATTCAAGTCATTACACCAGATGACTTGAAGATGAAAATATAAATTATAAATAAATCAAATCTGTCAACCTTGTCTTAAAAACAGACAACCACAGCTTTAAACAAAAATTATGAGACTCAGAAATGCAGTCTACCCCTGCAAATGTTCAATTGTATTGCAAAATCATTGTTTACACCTGACCTGCATATTAACAAAAAAAACCTGAATCCTTAAAAAGCTTCCCACCAAAGAAAAAAATTAAATCCAAATCGACTTTCAATGTCAAACTCCAGGGTCCATCCACATGGAAGGGTAGACGACACAAATTTCAGCACTCTGTGAATCAAACCAAGGGGCTTTCCGTCGACGTTTCAGTCGCTTCACTCACTTCCCGGATTTCTTTATGTAACTCAACCAAAGCGCACTTCCACACACACTTCCCTATCGCGCTAAACCACAAACCGCGCTAAATTACACCAATCTTCCATTCGAACTAGCAACTGCTACAAATGTGTACATTCAAATGCACCTCGGTAACACATTGTATTCGCAACGAACGAATGTTATCTTAATCACAAATCACACAGCTAAAGACAGCATCCAGTAGCCTCGTCGAGTTCAGTCATACCTACCAACCAACCCAGCACAATACACCCCGAAACACAATGAACATACAGTGTACGGTTTAAAAGGGAAAAACAAATCTCCCGCAACAACCAAAAGCATTGTTGAAAACAAAGAGAGCAGCAGTTATCTGTGCTAGCGCAGATGCTAAACCCGTCAGGCCCAGAAATGTGACGCGCTCAGTATGGATCAAACTTACACAAAACAAAGAAGAAATCAATCCTTTTCAAAAAATAAAAGATTGCGAATTTTAAAGACAATCCGCGACGCCGTCTATCTGAGCTGCAACGTGACTAAACGACAGAGTTTGTGATATGTCGGAAAAGGACGAATCGCAAGCATCTAGCGCATCCGCATTTCCTCCATCACTGTCTGTGAAACTACGGAAAGCCGGAGGCGCTGCACACTGAAATGCACATTCCAACCAACCACAGACTGTAAAATATTCCAGCACAATAGACGCACATATCTGTGATTAAACAATCATAAAAAACAGCATGGAATATCGACAAACGTCCAGTTATTTTATAAACAAATGATTAAATTCAAGATTAGCGTATAAAAGGATTGCTCTAGGTATAACCAGGGTATTACCATCTGTAATAACCACTAGTACATCTTAGTTACATTTGTCTGATTATTTTCAAACCTTGTGACATAAAAAATGTACATTTTAATAAGGAATAATTTTAGCATTTGTTTTATTTAACATATTAAGAACATATTTTAGTTACTTAGTTGCTGTATTTTGTATCACTAACACACACACACACACACACACACGCACACACGCACGCACACACACACACGCACGCACACACACACACACACACACACACACACACACACACACACACACACACACACACACACACACACACACACACACACACACACAGAGAAACTTTTGTGCAAAATATTTTTCAACACTAAAGAGAAATATATCAAAGCAATCATATAGCTTATTATATGAATTTATTTTAATTAGTTTGATTTTATAGCTGATCGTTGTTCAAAACAGGCCAAATATATACATTTCTTTTTTTTACATATTATACATACATATTGTAGATATTTATTTCTGTCAAAACAACTCAAACTCAAATCTCTCTCTCTCTCTCTTTCTCTCTCTCTCTCTCTCTCTCTCTCTCTCTCTCTCTCTCTCTCTATATATATATATATATATATATAAATATATATATATATGTGTGTGTGTGTGTGTGTGTGTGTATATACTACACTAAACTACAAAATACAGATGCCACAAATGTATCAAAATAAAATACTGTATTTTGTATTTTGAAAATACTACAAAATACTTTTACAAGTAACCTTCTTTGCAAACCTTAGATAAATAGGCCTATCCGATCAATCTCTTCACTGTTAAATGTGAAGTAAACAATATTTGATTGCAGTTTTACTCTGAGCAAGTTTTAGCAGATTATCTGCCACATCATTCACCTCTCCTCTTGCTGTACATTGTATCTATCCATTTTGTTATTTGTTTCTTTTTTATTCATGTAGTATTTTTGTACCAATTTCATACAGAAAGCCCTGTTCAATGCAGATAATGAGTTAGGATATAGTATAATATCTGTTGATATTGTTTTCACTTATTGTGTGGCCGGTAAAATTGATATAATTTCTGTATAATGATTATTCAACCTCTTAACATTCTTATATTTTAAAAGGGTGATATATGAAGTGTTTAATGAAAAAATATTTTAAAAAATTACAGTTTTCAATAGGTATACTCGATGTACAGTTAAAGTCAGAATTATTAGCCCCCCTGTTTATTTTTCCCCAATTTCTGTTTAACGGAGAGAAGAATTTTTTCAACACATTTCTAAACATAATAGTTTTAATAAGTCATTTCTAATAACTGATTTCTTTCATCTTTGTCATGATGACAGTAAATAATTTTTTACAAGATATTTTTCAAGACACTTCTATACAGCTTAAAGTGGCATTTAAAGGCTTAACTAGGTAGATTAGGGTAATAAAGCAAGTCATTGTATAATAATAATCTTCTGTAGACTATTGAAAAATATATAGCTTTAAGAGGCTAATAAACTGGACCTTAAATGGGTTTAAAAAAAATTAAAAACTGCATTTATTCTAGCCGAAATAAAACAAACAAGACTTTCACCAGAAGAAAAAAAAAATATTATCAGACATGCTGTGAAAATGTCCTTGCTCTGTTAAACATCATTTGAAAAATATTTTAAAAAGAGGAGAACAAAATTTTGATAATTATTAAATTGAGCTGTTAGCAAAATTAGCAAAATTTTGCTAATAATTCTGACTTCAACTGTATGATTCTGTAAAAAAAAAAAAAAATCTCCAGTTTTAGTCATATGTATTTTCATATAATTTCTTCAGTGCACAACATAAAAACATGATATCTCAAAATTATTAAAAATGGAGTTATTAATTCTAAAGCCATATATCCAGCGTCAAGTGTTTTTGACTAGTCTGTATAGACTGAATTTCATTATTATTAAATATTTGTGTTTCATATAGTGTCCTACTTTGTCATCCATCTTTCCTCTTTATTACCTGTATAACTGGAAATTTGAACAACCAGCAAAGTATTGTAGGTATCGCCATAATGTGATGCATAATTTTTTAGTCAAGCATTGACCACCTTCTTCAATATAAATACATTTTCTGTTCTCATCTCAAGCCTAGGCAAATAAGAAAGCGCTAATCCGAGGCCGCATTTTTATGATGTCAACATGAAGACTTCCTACAAAGTATTTTACAGAATTTAAAAAAAATAAAAAATTCAAGACACTTAAGTATTTGCATACAAAATATTAAGCCATTTTCATCAACCCAATACAAATTACAAAATACTATTTTACATTTGAATATATTTGAAAATTTTGTATCATAAATAATGCCCATCCTTGTTTATACCTTTACTCACATTACACCCGGATTTCAAAAAAACCTTTGGCATAAACTTGTAGAAAGGCACTATTGGTCAGGGGAACGCTACAAAAACATCAAAGTTCAAAGTTTATCATCCAAACTCAGTCACAAAAGTCTATTTTACTAATTCTAGACTATGTTCTAGATTATGTATGCATTGACCTGCGTCGGAAGCTAGAAGTAGTACTATATGGTTGGCAACCAACAGATCGAATTAGTAAAAAGTTTTAAGTGCCTAGGTACTATTATTGGTAATAAATTACATTTTGATGTAAATACTAAATAACTAGGACCGGCCAACAAAGACTTTATTGTCTGTGAAAGTTTTAGTGAAGTTCAATTGATAGGAATTGATGGTGGCATTTTATAAGGCCTAAATAGAATTTATTTGAACTTTTCATTGATTTGTTTGTTTGCTTCATTAAAAGTAAAACAGAAGAACTCACTGTCTATGGTTTTAAACATCTGCAGTAAATTATTAGGGTTAAAAGTGCTGGGGCTATCCTATGAAATCCAGGTGTTAAAGAAAGCCTGATGAACCTGATAAATTACATCTGATATATCCCATCCAAATTTCAAATCCTTCCCTCAGGATATTAGTATATGGTCTCTTTGGCAAGGACCAAGACATTAACAATTTTATTTTGTTCTTTGTGCGACTGATCTGTTGAATTTAATGGGAAGAGGTAGTTGCAGTTTCCAGTGCTATTAATGTTGTTTAATGTTTGTCTTAAGTGTGTGGTGTGATATATGTGTTGTAAATCTATTACAATGCAGAACAAATCATAAACTGTAAATTGTGAAGTTTACAGTAACAGTGAGAGTAATGTCAGACCACTAAGACAGATAAATCTAAAATATAATGTTTAAACCTTAGTGTTATACGGCTGTATTATTGGTACAACTTGTAAGTGTCCTGTTACCTTGTTATGGTTAGGACAACAGTAACCAAATAACGCTTGTTGTCTAGCAACTAACAAACAACCCGAATTCAGAGTAGTCATGTGAATAGATCCCTGTAAACAGGTACAATAAAGGGTTACTGATCTATTCAGCGGACTATTGGACACAATGATTTCCTGATTTTAACCTCTGTGGGGCTTTAGACATGATAAATGAGTAGCCCTGGTAACCCTGGGCGGCTGCCAACACTGCCTGATGATTAGACCAGTACTGAGGAATTATTTTCTGAAACTAACGTTTGAAATAAAAAATAGATAAATATGAGAATGAACTAAATCAGGAAAATGCAGTGATTGGCAGAATTATGTGAAAAAAAAAAAAAAAGTTCTGTTATCAATTGATGTGTTGGAAAAAAGACCTGGACAGTGTGGCTGGTCTCAGCGGGAAGTGAAGAGTTTTGTTGAGTAGTCAAGGGCTCTTGTCACAATGAAACACCTGGAACTATCAGAATAGTTCCCACTGGAAATTCATCAAAAATTTCCTCGTGAAGATGAGAGCTGGGACCTATTGACTGAACAGTGAGAAAAAGCAGATACAGATGCTAATAACAATTTTTTCATATCCTTACCAGCTAATCAACCATGAATGTGATTCCAAAATAATTAAGCTTTTTCTTATATTAAATGTTTAGTTCACCCAAAGTTACAATTGTGTCATCAGATATTCACCCGTCATTTATCCAAACCAGTTTGAGTTTTGTTCTCTTGACTATAAGAATGTTGAGATGTTTACATCCAATGATGAGAATTTGATTGATGCTCAAAATAAGTCAAAATATTTTACTCAAAGACTGAAATCTCAAACGTTTTATTCCAACGAGTCAAAGAGAACAAAATTGTTGATTCCTGATCATTGGGTACCAAATATAAAACAAATTGAAGTTTGGAGAAGTCAGGGGTCTGTTTCAATATAATAAATGCCTGCATCTCAGAAGAAGAAAAATAAATTAAATGCAACAAAAGATGGCTTTAGGCCAGAGGTGCATAAACTTTTTCTTATAAAGGGCCAAAAACCAAACTTGATTAATTGCTGTGGGCTGAAGTTAAATATCAACCTGTATTACATCAAATTTTCCATGGGTAATTTCTCATTTATTTGTGTATTTTTTAAAAATAACTAAAAAACATTGCTGTAAAACTATATTTTTTACGTTTTATAATATACTTATTATATTAAAAACATAAACATTCTTATTTATAACACAATGGAGTTCAATGCTAAATACACTAGTCTAGCTGCTCCTGCCTTTGGCATGATTTGTTTGCCATGTCCTGTACCTCTGTCAAGTGACAGTATTTAAATTTTAAAAGTCTGATTCTTTTACAACATTTAAATGAAACGTTTAATTTTAGTTGCCTTTTTTTGTAGCTCCTCAATTCAACCATGAAACAAAAGGTCAATTGGAAAATCACCCTTTAACCAACTCTCCATCCTTTTCCTTTTCTCTTTTTGAATGGCATGGCGGGCCAAACCAAAGGTTACCATTGGCCAACTTTGGCCTGCGGGCCCTACTTTGGGCACCTTTGCTTAGACTGTGACATGAGACAGCTCTTTGGGAGGCAGCCACTCAAGACAGTTCTGGGAGGTAATAAAACTGAATGGCTTTGATGACAGATAATAGCTGAAGCATTTTAGAATGACTAAAACAACATTTGAGATTTGTGGTTAGTTTTTTTATTTTTTATTAATGCAGTTGTTTCCAAAGTGGGGGTGGCAGGACAAAGGTGGAAATTATTGGAGGGTCACTTGGTGATTTTAAAAAATCAAACAATAAATCAGAATTACCATATTTTATTCATAACATATAGAATATAGTACTAATAGTAAATATAGTTACATTAAAAAAATAATCCATCAGCCTTTCAATATTTTGTTCCTATTCAATTGCATCCCCTGGGGTGTTTACATTAGATTAACGCCATATCAATAGCGTTAATGCAGCAGATTGATTTGAATGAGGTAAACACAGGTTCCAACACCAGTACATTCATTAAAACTATAAATAACATTACACTGTAAAAAAAAAAAGTTGAGTAAACTTAAAATAATTAGGCAACCTATCACACATAGCTTTTTGAGTTAACTCAACAAACAGGGTTTGAAGACCAGTGAACTCAAAATATTTTGTTGAATTCTTTAGTTCTCTGAACAAAAAGTATCATGTTCACCCAACAAGATATTTTTGTTTGCTGAACAAAAAATATCATGTTCAACCAACAGGATATTTTTGTTTGCTGAACAAAAAATATCATGTTCATTCAACAAGACATTTTTGTTTGCTGAACAAAAAGTATCATGTTAACCCAACAAGACATTTTTGTTTGCTGAACAAAAAATATCATGTTCAACCAACAGGATATTTTTGTTTGCTGAACAAAAAATATCATGTTCAACCAACAGGATATTTTTGTTTGCTGAACAAATATTATCATGTTTACTCAACAAGATCTTTTGTTTGCTGAACAAAAATTTTCACGTTTATTCAACAAGATCTTTTGTTTACTGAACAAAAATGATTATGTTTACCCAACAAGATTTTTTTAGTTTACTGAACAAAATAAAACAAACTGATTCATTATGCATTTACTATTAATTTTTAGGATTCAAATTAAATACACAAGAATAGTCAATTCACTTTTTTTTATTTTTAACTGTGTTCAAATCACAATCCAAAACATTTGCATACAAAATCAGCATTTGACATTAGCCGTGTTCAGCATTGGGCTAGTTTGTACACAACTAGTACTGAATGTTTCCAGATTTGAAAAGATTGTACACTGCCTCAACATAAAATAACTGGCAACCTTACTAAAACCAAGCTATTAGTGTGTCTAAACACTCAAACCAGGTGAATATACAATCATCTAATCAGAGTAAACCCTAAAAGCCACTCCATTCATACAGTCTTTAAAGTGTACTGCACTTTTGTCAACAAAGTACATCAAGTCCAAAAACAGACCTCAAAACATTGAAACAGTGGCACATTAGGAAGTGGTCACGGGTCAGTTGCCGTTACTGTGTGGAGTTTGAATGTTCTCCCTGCGTTCACGTGGGTTTCCTTTGGGTTCTCCGGTTTCCCCCACAGTCCAAAGACGTGTGGCACAGGTGAATTGGGTAGGCTAAAATTGTCCGTAGTGTATGTGTGAATGAGTGTGTATGGATGTTTTCCAGAGATGGGTTGCAGCCGGAAGGGCATACGCTGCGTAAAACAAGTTCATTGCGCTGTGGCGACCCCAGATTAATAAAGGGACTAAGCCGAAAAGAAAATGAATGAATGAATGAACTGAACTCTCGCAGATCATGTGCCACCAACCTCCATAAAACATGCTGAATCACTTAAAAATTATATTTGAGTTCTTTTGGGTGTTCCATATTCAGTCTATACAAGAGGCTGAACAAGTAAGCGAAGGCTGCAGGCAGATGTGTGATATCCTGAAGTACTATGGCCTCCTCCAAGATTTTAGCGAGGTTCATCACATATTGCAGGGATGCAGAAGTGCCATTATCATCTTCCACCACAGTGAAGATTCCAATCCTTTAATCTCTGGTGCTGTGGTCTTCAGGGTCCGTGTCCTTATAGGAGATTAAGTAATGGGAAAATTAATTGATGTGTAATATTAATTACTACTTATTAATGTTATTACTATTATGCAAAGAAAATAAAAACATGTAATACTTTCGTACATACAAACAGTAACACTTTGAATAGTCTATAATATATAATAATTGAACAATATATTGACAACTTTTTAATATTTAGCAATTTTTTAAACTTTTATTTTACATAAAATTGCAAAGATTTACTTTTATTTGATACAGTTTCAATTGTGAAAGTTGTTTATTGTCCTGTTTAGAATATAACTGAGCCTTTAATTGTCATTCATAAGGGATTTATAAAGCATAAATAGTCCTCACTTTAGATTAGGTCACAACTGGATGAAGTTAAGCTCATAAAGCATATACTAACATACAAAGTAACTATTATTACATACCTTAATATTAGGATATTTAAATGTTAATTTGAATAGTTTATTAATCGTGTACTTAAGCATTCTGAATGATCTTAAAAACACCAACTATTCTTAAATAACTGGTTTGTAAATAATGCAATACTTAAATTAGTAATACAAATGAATCATTAAAGTTAAAAAAAATACAATCATTGAGCACTTCATGTAGAGTTATGCTTAACAGAAAATAAATTAACTATTCGCTAATACTAAATAAATTATTTATAGCGTGCAGCTATTAAAAGTGTTACCAAGCAGACTAATAAATGTAGAATAGGGTATGAAAATGGGTAACTTACCAGACATATCTTGAGAAAGCAAGCATAATTTTTACGAAGAAAAATTGGCAATCCCTCAAGAGCTGCTCTTTCTCGATCGGTGACAATATCAGTGATCTAAAGGAAAATCATTTACAAAGGGTGTTTTACAATCTTATTGTTTTGTAAGTAAAAATGTACTTAGTACATTTAAATGAGCATAGTATTTTATTCATGCTGTTGAAAAAACACATGGCTTTATTTTTAAAAAAGAATTTTGTGGTTTCCATACAATGGAATTTGATAATGGTTGTGTTGGCAAATTTAGAAAAATGTTTAGTTTCATGTGACAATTACTTTGAGTTAAAAACTACAGCTATTATTTTCTATTTTCCTCTTTGAATGTATTCATTTGAAATGGTCACTCAAAACAAGTGAAACATCTGTTATTTATCTTACTTCCATCTCACAATCAAAACACAACTTGACACAATTAAAATTAATGCAAAAGGGCTGGACAATTAAATTGTTGCAATTACGTTTTATTAGACTGTATTACCTGAGCATGAAATTCTTGACAGGACAAAATATGTTGCACATGTTAAAAACATCAGACGGGTGTATAAGAAAAAAAAAATCTTAATGAGTACCTGCTCATCCATCTTGTTTAAAGTTGTATCCATCTCTGGACCCATTGAATCCCTTCTTTTCTGTAGAGTTTCAGGAGAGGTGCTGTATATTTATCAAGTCACTCGATTAACTGTCTCAGGAGATCTACATTACAGATCTGAGAAAACTCTATGCAGATCTACAATATACAAAAAAACATACATATTAATTTTTACACATAATATATATATATATATATATATATATATATATATATATATGTAAATGTAAATATTTAAATGTTCAAATGCTGAATACAGATGTATTTTGAATTACCTATAATAATAATGTTGTTTGTTATTTTTAGCATTATCATTACTACCTTGAATGAAACCAAAGCAATTGCAATATAGTGACTTACCTCTTCCTTAAAGTCCAGGTTATCTCTCTCTAATTTCTTCCGGGCTAAATCTCAACAACTTCTTTTGGGCAAAGAGAAAAGGTTTCTTGCATCTGCTGGTGAATGACCGTCAAATTTCACTGATGATAACAAGTCTCACCTCCTCAAGGAAATCTTGCATTGAATTATGTCATTGTCAATATTTCAGTCCTTTTGAGCAAAAAGAAAGAAAAATATATATTTAGCCCTTTATATTTTTTATGTAAATAAAAGCTAGCTGACTGTTAAAGCAAGTTGGTCTGAATATGATAGACATTTAGTCGAGCTAACAAATCAAGCAATGAATTACATGAAAATCACACGATTTTCACACAAATTACACAGTTAAACACGTCACCGTTTGTTCCACTGGCTCTGGTTCGAAGGGAAAAAAGGTTATGATGTGCGCAATGCTGACAGCAATCTAGATAAACAGGACATAATGTTATATTTGACTTGGATACCTGATCTGGTATGTTATATGATACTCATTGTATTAATCGTGAGTTATTAAAGCAAATGACTCGATTGAAATCGCTATTTGTTTCAAATACATTCACTTTAAACTTTTATTGATGTAAATAGCCAAAACCAAGTGCACGAAACAAGTAACTCACGGCTAAATTATAACAAATAGTTCCGTATTAGGATACACGCGCACATCAAAGCCAACATATCAAATAATATAACGTTAGATGACAACAAAAAAAGACATACATACCTATGATTTAGCAGAAACGTCGTTGGCCTGCTCTTAACTAGGGATGGCTGACGTGAAACTGATGTTTTGACACAGTGTCGAGATCCCGAAGCGCAAGTGTTTCGAATCACTGCACCGAAGCATGATCCGAAGCACCCAAGTCACGTGACTAAAGTGTTTCGAAACACCTAGTCACGTGACTAAAGCGATTCAAAGCATCGATCAGCTTAGAAACGTTTCGAGACCTGGTGAATCCTAATTTGACTGCCAAGGTCTCCAAATCATCTCTGTCTCAAATGGCTTAGAGCACTGAGGGTTTGCTTATTGATTCTATGCTTAGCATGATGTTTTGGGTTCGAATCCCGACTTCGAAATCATGGTTTTATGTATTTTAATCATGTTTCTGTTTTGTGTAGCCTAAATAGGATACAGCTACAGTTACGCCATCAATTTAGCATCATTTTTGTAACACTGTAAAACAATAATAAATATTTTTACAGTATGGTTGGGTTTAGGGTTTGGGTAGACATTAATAAAATACAATAAATGGGAAATTTAATGAATAATATAAATAATTCTTGATAACTTCAGGCCACCGTTTTTGATCTAGCAACAACCCTGTTTTAAGACAAAAACAAGACATATTTATTCACAAATTGTTTATTCGGATATCAGACCAATGTTGAAACAAAACGATACAAGAGCAAAGCATTACCAACTGGTATTAAAGCATTTTAAAACAACTGCTACTGACTGGCTTCGAAACCTACCACTCATGCATGGATGTCTGACACCTTAACCACTGTACTATGTTACTTGAAGGACTCCACTTTCACAAAGTGGGGTTTAATCCCTCAATTTGTTCAATCGTTCTTTGCTGAAGCTGTTACAGTGCAATATATATAAAAAATGACCACTAAATGTCACTGTAGAGTGAGGTTTCGAAACGTTTCGAAGCTTCGACACATTTGCTTCGACTGTTTCAGTGTTTCACGAAGCCTCGCTTTGCCCACCACTACTCTTAACCGCTCTATCACGGTCTCTCACATCATTAATACACTGGTAAAATAGATCGGGCAGTCAGATGGGTAGCACATCGCACAAAAACATGTATACAATTATATACAATCGATTATGAAAACGATTGACACGTAGCTCCGCAGAAAGAAAGATGGTTCGTTTTGTCGCGCGCACGTGACAGGTACCCCCTGCAGTGAGCTATGGAAGTAAATTGCGCATGCGCCAGAAGCTTATAAGGCGCATGCGCCAACAAGAAGGGCACGCATCAACGCTAAACTAAGAATTTTGTATTAGTTCAACGAAATATTTTAAGTTTTTCACATTGAAGCACCATATTTTTTGAACAAACTAACTATTATTGGTCAGCATTTCAAATGAAAATATTTAAATTCAGTTAACTTATTAATCTTTGTTCTGAGGACTTTTTGAAAGTTGGCGTTTTTACAGTGTAGAAATAATAAAATAAAGGCCAAGACTGAACATGCAGTAAGATATCTGAGTGGCGGTCTCCAAAATTAAACAGTATAGACTTGTGATGTAAACATTCTGCCTACCAGTCTCATTGGGTGAGATTAATATTACATTAAACAAATTAATAAATGAGTTTAGGGGTTTTTGGCCTCACAGCAAGAAGGTCGCTGGTTTGAGCCCTGGCTGGGCCAGTTGGCAATTCCTTGTGGAGTTTGCGTGTTCTCCTTGTGTTCACGTGGGTTTACTCTGGGGGCTCTGGTTTCTCCCCCAGTCCAATGACATGCGTTATAGGTGAACTAAATAAACAAAATTGGCCGAAGTGTATGAGAGTTAATGCACGAGTGTATGGGTGTTTCCAAGTGTTGAATTGCATCTGGAAGGGCATCCCCTGCGTAGAACATGTGCTGGATAAGTTATCAGTTCATTCCACTGTGGAGATCCCTGATTAGCAAAGTCACTATGCTGAAAAGAAAGTGATTGATGAAAGAATAAATGAGCATAAAAATTATATTGTTGTTTGTTAGACTGTTCCACTTTTTTGTGGTCAGTATTCTTGTGTTTCTTTAGACATGTTGGTGTGTGTGTGTGTGTGTGTGTGTGTGTGTGTGTGTGTGTGTGTGTGTGTGTGTGTGTGTGTGTGTGTGTGCGCCATTGAAAGCAATGTTTTTATGTTTATAACCACCTCAGAAGATAGTGGGTGTTGCGAGTCACTGAGATTACCATTTTTGGGATTGCAGACTGAAAAGTTTGGAACCCCCTGTATTAATGCCATCCAGTCTTGTCCATTTTGATGTCATATTCAAACATGTGCTTAAAAATATGTGGATGGAAACATAGCTATTGTCATCCATAGTAGGAAAAAACTAAATACTAAGCCATATGATTACTGGTTACCAACATTCTTCAAAATATCTTCTTTTGTATTCAAGAGAAACATACGCTGGATTGTTGGTGACCCCTGATTGTGTGGCGACCCCAAATAATAAAGAGACTAAGTGAAAAAGAAAATGAATAAATGAATGTTTTACCTTTTTAAATTTGAGCTAATTTCAGCTTAGTCAATCACTTGTTAAATTGAAGACTCTCACTCATGACACTGCGAGAGACAAAGAACAACCAAACAACCAAAAATCCTGAAGTTGTGTCATTAGAGCCAAAGTACATACCTGTCGCTAGAGATGTCTGTTAGTAATTAATCCCTTCAAGTATTTAATTAGTAACTAAACTAACTGACTGCATTGTCTAGAATGGAACTCATCAAACACAACAGCTATCATGCAATCAGGCATTTAGTTAAAATTTACCCTAGACATACTACTCATCTGTGGCATTACCATGCCATGCGTTTTAAAATCTATAGACACTACGCCTATTAATTGTAATCCCAAAAATAAAATGTAAAGATTTAATGATTATTTTAAAGACTGGCAAAAATAATTGAACTGAACTCAATAAAAGGCTTTTTATTAATCTACACACATCAGTATATTGACACAGCTGAATACAACAGGTTGAGAAAAGGCAATATTGATGACTAGATATATGATTTCAGAGTGCTTACATCCCCTAAAGTGCTTATTAACCTTATGATAATTTCAACATAAAACATTCTTAAAAATGTACAGTAAAAGTTGTATCTGTTAATACTATAATCAAGCTAACAGGAACAAACAATAAATAATTGTATTTTTATTTGCTAACATTAACAAAAAAATAAATAAAGATTTTTTTATTAGTTCATGTTAAATAAGGGGACCTTATTGGAAAGTGCATTTGTACTGATTGAATGCAATTATAAGTTACACTGGAATATATAATAAAATATTTTACAAAGAATACAACAAAACTGGAGGTCCCCATCGATTTCAATAGCAAAAAATAGCCAATTTTGTCATCATCAAAAGGAATAGTTCACCTAAACATTGAACTTTGTCTACTTACTTTGAGAGTAAATGAAAATATATACAGGACCTGAGTGCATTCAAAATGTTCTGGAGTTTGAGGTTCATGTTGTATTATAATGATAATTATAATTATATTATGAGACACACTTTCAAATGTAAAATGTTTACATCGATTTATAAGAATCTATAAAGTAGAACATGTGTATTGTTTTGTTCAATAAATTATATACTTGTGCTGATCCTGGATGCTTGAATATCTTGATAAGTTAGCGAGTGCAATCTCTGGTAATCTAATATTTTACAGATCCTTATCAATTGATTTGCCTTCATTGTTACGCGACAGGAAACGCTCTTGAACCAAGCTTGAACCAAGGTGTAGATTTGGATGGAAGGGATGTGTCCCCACCAATATCCAGCAATTACTGAAATGTCCCTACCAATAATTTAATCACCTTCAAAATAAAATAAGGTTTAAATTACATTCTCTTCTCGGGTCCTCCCTCCCACAAAAGAGATGGGGACAGCTACATTTGAATGTGGGAAGTGCCAAAAACAAGGAAATTTTCCAGTCCTCCACTGTACAAGTCAAGTTTGCTTGGAGTCGACCATAATAATAAAAACCAAGACTGTGCAATTATTGGAAATTCATTTTCAATTTTGACTTTCATGATTATGAAAAATAATAATTGGGATAAAATGGTTAAATTGCATCATGTGCCGCTTTAATTTTCTACATTCACATCTCCTCAAGATTGGAGTAAAATCATGTAAATTGACCTCTGAATAACGGGACGTCATTCATTAATTAATATTTGTATTATTATAAAGTGTTTAAAGCCTTTATTTATGTTTTTATAAACATGAAAGAGAATTTGTGCTGTTCTATGCACAGGCAATAGGGATGTATGTTCAATGTCAAGAGCAAATCTACACCCTTGGAACAAAGGCAGTGGAATAAAGACAATATTGTTCAGATTATTGCCGACTTATCATTTCACCTCATTTCATTTAAAGATATAGTATTAATTTTATTTATACTGTATTTTATTTGACTCACAAAGTTCTAGTTTGTAAGTTGTTCTAGTTTGTAATATTATTATAGAGTAATTTTTGTAATTTTCCAAAAGTTGGTGTTGAGTTTTATTTTATCATTCCCCAGCATAGGGTTCAACTAAAAATTGTATTTTGTGAAGAAAACAACAACAACAGACAAACAAACATATGTATAGCAGAGTATGAGTAAATTAAACAGCAAATGTTCATTATTGGGTGGAGAACTATCTCTTCAAAACAAACATTTATTTGTCACTCACTGTAAAAGTGACCAATAAATATGTAATCACTAGACAATAATAAACAGCTTCTTGTGAAATAGAAAAAGTTGACTTACCAGAGCAGGTAACATTACAAGTTAGTTTTTTGGAATACATGTTGCAACGGCTTACCAAATAATCTACAAATTACCCATTTTCCAAAAGCCATATTTAAAGTATACAGTCTAAACTGTGATCGGCTCTGGATGCTGAACTGACGATATGTTTGAGATCCCAGACCACATTGAAGGCCCACCCAGTCTCCATGTTCTCTGAAAGTGTTCATTGTCATACATTTCCTTTGCGTTACAGATTTTCTTTCCATGTTCCTTTGTAATTAAAGGTTTTGTAGCTTAAGAAAATCCTGAAATTGCTTAAACGTCATTAGTCCCACTGGAATGCAGCACACATTGACCTCCTTCTTCATGGCATGAGCTGACCCAGGCCCTGACCTGAACCTGACTGAATCTGAGATTAAATGTACTCTTTGTGTTTGTATTTGTCAAATTGATGCGGCTGGAAGGGCATATGCTGCATAAAACATATGCCGGAATAGTTGGTGGTTCATTCTGCTGAGGCAACCCCTGCACAATAAGGGACTAAGCTGAAGGGTGGATGAAGGAAGGATGGATGAATATAATTTATGTAAAGTGCATGATACAGTTAAAGTCAAAATTATTAGCACCCCTTTGATTTTTGTTTTTCTTTTTGAAATATTTCCCAAATCATTTTTAACAGAGCAAGGAAATTTTCATAGTATGTCTGATATTTTTTTTCTTCTTCTGGAAAGTCTTCTTTGTTTTATTCTGTCTAGAATAAAAGCAGTTTTAGTTTTTTTCAAAAAACATTTTAAGGTCAAAATTATTAGCTCCTTGAAGCTATTTGTTATTTGATATAGGTTTTTAATATTTGCAACATATAAAATTGACCGTTTTCCTTTATTATACTGTATGTACAATATAGGCCGTTTTCCTAAAATATATGTACAGATGTACATATAATATAGGAAAATGGGAAATGGAAATATAGTAATATATAATAGAAATATATAATATAGGAAAATGGTCAATTTTACATATGTTATATATTAAAAAACCTATCAAAACCTATATTAAACCATATATGTTTATAGGTTCTTTTCTTGTTTTAGTTCTTGGTTATTGCCTTGATAATAGAAAATATGAGCTAGGCATCATGTATGACAGTTGCCAAAGGGAGATATGAGCTATAAAGGAGATCTTGCATATGTAGGGCTTATATGTGAATACAAAGAAGCACAGGAGACCTACTGTATATGGCCTATGTATATGCACATGCACCTCGATTTTGCCTATATGTGGCATATGCAGCATATATATTATCATCATATATGTGCATATATACTGCATATAGGTTTTATATATGTGCATATATCCTCATATGGGTTCTTTCCAAATGGGGGTGCAGAGTTGAGGTCTTTTTCTTATTGTTTATGTGTTGATCAAATTTCCAAGTTTTTATACTATGCACCAAGTATCACTATGTTTTATTCATGGTTAATGTAATATGCATGATTTGGTAATACTTGACAAGTCATGTCTAAAAGTTCATTTAAATTGAATTGAATTGAGAGAAAGAGAGAGAGAAGGGGGAGGAGGAGGAGCCGCGAGCGGTGCATCGCACATCGTCTCCGCCAAATCATCTGAGGCTGCTCTACTACACCGTGAAACAAAAAAGGATGGTGCCTTCCACAGTTCGTTTTGTACTGGCAAAACAGCACAAAGAGGTCGTCTAATGACTTTTTATTTGATCGTCGCGGATATAGCATTAAATGCAAGTACTGGGTCAAGCTGTGTGGGATCTAACGCCAGGCGTTCTCGAGAGCTGTTTGTTGCCCCGTGAGGATTTGACGTCTGTGTTCTGCTGGATGTTTTGGAGAAATCAAGAGAAAGAGGTTGCGGTCATTGTCCTGCAAAATGGACTACTTAACCGAACTGGAGAAGTATAAGAAGTAAGTACATTAAAGCTACTGCGCGTTTGTTTCGGCATGCGAAACATACCCATTGAAAGCCTAACGTTACACACACTACAGATCTCAACCAGTCAACGTTAGCAATTGAGCTAGCAAGTAATTTTGCAGCTAGCTCGCTAACCCACCGTTTACAGTTAGCCGTTTTCATGATTTCACTGCATATCCCACAGGTCAGAGGATAAATTTAGGTTTTCAGACAAAATACTGCAGTTAGCCCGTTTAACCAAACCAGTAGGTTTGTTGGCCTTAAGGATGAACGGCGATAACATTAACGTTAGACGTCTGAAATGGTGACCGTAGCGACACTTCACTCTGCAGTTAGCCAGTAAAGTGTATGCAGGACAAATCAATAAATTGAAATAAGCTTTATTTACGGTAAAATGTAGTATTCGTTGTTGTTGGACATTACAATAGTGTAATGTCAATGCAAGTCGTATGTTCTGATAAAACAAGTGAAAACAGATGCAGCGAGGCCTCCACGCAGGCCTCAAATCCACGAGGTAAATTTTTTCAGATCTCCACAGTTTACCGTCACCGCGGTTGTCATTAGGTACCAGTTGGCAGTCGGTGCTGGAATTACTGGAGACGAACGGAAGGCCGTGGTGTTGGACATCCTGTGTTGTTGACGTTGTTATTGTCATCCACAGCAATAACTGAACCGAGTCAACTGTACCCAAAATATTGCTATGCTGTGCAAAACAAACGTCACCCACATGCGCGAAGACTATTCATCTGCAGCATTCAAGCAGTTTACTTAACGTTATCTTTTGTCAAAACATGTTAACCATATCGTTTTACTATATGATCACTCGAAGCTTTTACTGTTGGACAACAACACACTAGAATTTCAAGTGTTACTCGTTTATGTCAGAACACCGCTTGTGCTCATTGATCTCGTATGTCGAGGACACGCAGTTTACCTTTCACATTTGAGACAAAAGGCAGTTTGTCCTGCTGGGGCTGATAAGTGCTCTTCCCTCCACTTTACTTCTGTGTGCTGCTTAGTGCTTCTGACCACCATGTCAACTCTACCTTTCTCGTTTTAATTAGAATAGTGAACCTATATTTTTACATTGAGAAGTTGGTTTTACATTCAGACTTTCTCATTATTAATGTCATTTCAGAAAAGTATTCTTTGCAAATGAGTAGTAATCGTTTGACTGAATATTCAAAGTACCATGGTAAACCATATAGGGAGCGTGTCACAAGTTGTCACTGAAGGAATGTGCAAATGTAAAACTAACTTTACCTCAATTATTTTTACTGATCATCATCATCATCATCATCATCATCATCATCATCTGCCAAATAATGCAAAACACATAAAAGCAAATAAAGTGTTGTTACTTTTACAATACTATTTATTGGCTGTTATTAGTAACCACATAGATTCAGCAATATCTATTATTCGAATACAAAATGTAGTCTTTATATAAAAATTATTATTGTAAATGCATACACGAGTAAAACAACCACTTAAATAGATATTGCATTAGTATTAGCCATGTTAGTAGTATTCCAGAGATGGGTTAATTTGCTAAATTAATTTTGATGCAAAATGAAAAGCGTTTCTTTTTATGAAACATTCCTAATTATGCACTGTTAAATAGCTCGTAGGGCTACAAAATATTGTAAAAGTTACACATTGCAAAATGTTTTTATTCTGGAATATATATTGCAATATGTATAGAATTTCACTAGATGAGTTGAATACATTTTTGTAAAAAATCTGTAACTTTAGAAAGATTGGGAAAATTCTGTAGGGGATAAAATATGATAAACAATCAATAATCATATATAAATTCATTAAAGAAAAATGTGCAAATCAAATGAACGGCTTTATTGTTTTGCGAAGTTTAAATATATTCAGGTATACAGTAGTTAAGTATTCAAATGTAAAATAATACTGCATGGTTTTTGTTTTAAAACCAATTCAATCAAATGAGTCATTATTATTTTTAAAAGTTACAAACAATACAATATATTATGCCTGAATAAAATCCCTCACAGTCAAAGGCTTCATAAAATACTTGCTAAATGATAAATTTATAATCCAGACTCAACATTGGATATATTTGCAATGTGATTATTGCGGATGACACATTGCGATATCGATGCTGTTGTGCAGCCCTACCTTGTTGCATTTTAAGGCGCCATAAACTGAAATTGAAAATTTCCATGTAAATACACACATAATTGTTAACTGCATAATTTTGAATACGTTTTGTGACATGCAGGAATTACCATTTGTTCACAAAACCATCATTGGCTCTGGTTACTCGGTCGTTGACCCTCTGACGATCAAACATTATTTCTAACGAAATAAACCAATTAAAACCTTTTTGGGTAAGAATGCTTGGTAAGTGCTAGTTTAATTTCAACATGCTGCTTACAGGACATGTTTACTAGCCTTGGTCTTCACATTAATGTTAATTTAATGTTAACGTGAGTTTACATTACATAGCAATAGTCGACCTCTGTGGTTCGTTTCGCTTAGGAACTTATGTAGTCAGAACCAAAGTTAATCTCACTGCGTTCTCTGGAATCCTTTCAAATGGTGGACGAACAAATTCCAATAGGTTGCCACCAAACCGTAGCACATTACCATAAAGTTAACTTGATTTCAGCTCCCTGTGATGGCCATACTGTCCAAGATGTGTCACTTTCACTGGAACTTGCAGCCTGCGGCCATTGAAAACTAATGACTTCCAGCTACATTTGACACTCTCACTAGTGGCAGGATGAACACATGGTTATTCTATCAATTAATAACTTAAATTATCTTGGCAAGCTTGTTTATCTAATCAAATGTTAAGTGCACAAAATCCTTAAAATCATGTACAGTTTGCTGAACTAATCGCAAAGTCTTAGGGAGGCTGAGTGGAAATGTTTTGATGTAGCAATGCATCAATGTTTATTGTAGCTAACTAAGCTAACATTACACCCCCTCAGAGATGGGGTGTGCATACACTGGCCTCACATTTAAGTTTAGTTACGATTATCAATATTCAATTTAATAATTTGTTTCATTAGAGTGCATTGACAATGCTTTCCATCCACAATTTTACTTCACAACAAGAATTCAATTTTGTCTTTTAATACAAACAGTCTGATATAAGAACTGTACCTTTAATTTTACCTGCTTTTTAATGTATCGAACAAGACTCAATACAGGCAAAGAAGACAACTGGAGCATTTCAAACAAGTACACATAGTTAAATAATAATGCCACTTGGTTTTTGAGTGTGATTAGGCAACTTCTTAAATGTCTATGATTAGGGCTGGGTATTGTTCCAGAATTTTCAATACTGATACCGATACCCTAAATTCGATACCGATTCCGAACTATACTTTTTTCGATACTTTTATTTTAAGAAATATATTTTAACAAGATTAAATAACTCATAATCTCAGAGAAACTTTGGTTTTATTTTTTTCAGGATGTTTGGGACACTTTTCACAGCAGGCTTATCTCTTAAGACCAACAAACAAAGGAACAAAAGCACAAAATGAACAAAGTGTAGTTAACACAATATATTAGTACAAACAGTTTTAATAAAGTATAAGCAGTTTTAGGTCAATCAATTTTAAGTATTTTTGAGGCTTACTGCTGCTTGAAGGTTTAGTTCACCCAAAAATTTAAATTCTGTCATTAATTATCTTCAAATGGAGATATTTTGGATTTAATCCAAGAGCTTTCTGATCCTCCCATAGACAAATCAATGAATAAAGTAATTTTTGTTTACTTTGCACACAGGTGTATACTCGCAGCTTCATATAATTATGATTGAACCACTTATATCACATGGACTTATTTTGTTTTTTTTTGGTTCCTTTCTGGGCATTGAAAAATGCAAATCGAGTAAATCTAATCTTTCTCCACAGTAGAAAAAGGCAGCAAACCTTAAACAATAAAATTGGTAAAGGCCCTGTGGCATTCACCTTTCAGCAGGAGCAGAGACTATAACAATAATGTGAAGAAAACATGAAAGCTAAACTGTTAATGCAGCCAAGGATAAGGACATTTAAATAACATAAGTTTAATGTGATGTAACCTTCATCATTTACTGTTAACCTTTATGCATTTTAGTATCAACTCAGCTAGGTATTTAAAGCCATCGAAACAGTACATAACGTTACACAGCCTACTATAGGTCCAAAAAAAGGATTAATAAATTGACCCTGCACAAACCCCTTTTACACTGTCAGGTCTTGATGCCCAATTCTGATTTGTTGTAACGTGTAAACGGACAAGCAAAAAGTCTGATAAAGGCAACAAATCGGAATTGCAAATGCAAAACGCGCCTAACCCTGAAACTGAAAACGAGACGTGACTTTTAAGGGGCTGTTTCATATGGATTTATTAATCATTCTTACTGTTCAGTGAACGCAAACTGTCGTAGTTTATTAAAGATGCAAACTCCTCACTGCACGACAGCTGCGCACCTTCAGCAGACCTCCTCATTCCTGCAGCACAAGGACTTTATCATTGTTTATGAGCGTCAAAAGTGGCGGATCTGTTTGGCGAGTTTTGCCATCTGTGCCACACTAGCCACTGCGAAATATGCAAAGCGTTGGTTAAGCAGAGAATGGTTCAGTCCTGATTTACCCCCACGCAGTTTATGTAATGGTATAGCCCTGAGTTCTAATGTGTGTGCCGTAAACTTTTGATTTTCAAGACAGCCTTGCTGCAGCCAGTTACCAGCATTTAACCCAGGCACGTTGACAAGATTATACCCTTGGGTATCGAAATTTGGTACAGAACGAAAATTTTTTCGATACTCGATAGTATCGAGACGATTCGGTCGGTGCTTAAAAAGTATCGAACTCGATACCCAGCCCTATTTATGATACTGTACAGTGTTTCCTCTAGGATTTTTTCCAGCTGTTGTGGAAGGTCTTTTACACAAATCTCATTGTTATTTTAATGACAAATGTCGTGAGTGCAGTATTACATGTCGAGATATTATTTATGTAAT